TTTAAAAAAATAAAAAATGTTAATTCTTCATTTATTTTTAATTATGACATACATAGAAACACAAAAAATATACCATTTTTTAAAAATATGTTTAATATCAATATCAAATATACAACAGAAATTAATTTCACCACAATAAATTAATAAAATTAAAAGAATAATGTTAATGTCATCGATCATCATTTTTAAGCCAACTGGACGATTATTTCAAGCATACAAGCTGAGTTCGTTCATGCTGCTCTGAGAAATCTAGATAAACAAAGAATAATAAATTAAAAGTATTCCAGGGGAAAAGAGAGGAAAACCCTGTATCGTCTCTGATATCTGTCAGGGTATTGTTGAAAGTGTCATCTTTTTGCTCGAAGTTTTCAGGTCGATCAAAAAGATGACATTCACAACAATACTTTGCCGTAACGTTCACAAATATCAGAGAGAGTACAGGTATTGCCGATTGCCTCTCTTTTCCTCTGGGATGCTTTATATCTGTTGTTCTTTGTTTATCTATATTTCTCAGAGCATAATACCGAACACGACTACAGTATATAATAATTCCAATATCCTAAGTGGAAAGAAAAAAGACCACCTTTCTGTTTTGTACTATGGTCCCTTTCTTCCGATGGCTCATCTCGTTGATATTTAGGAAGGATCCATAAAATATATATTTTACTATCGGTACTGGGATGAAAAAATATAAAATTCAATTTGATTTGATGTTCCTTTTCTGTCACCTAAATCAGGAGAATGACAATGAGCATGTTAAGATGAAAAAAAATTATTTTTATCAACACTTACCTACACGTTAGTCCGAGGAGTTTTATCAAAAACCAATATTTGCCTAAATAATTTATGTATTAAATTTGCAAAGCAAACTGCAGCGTGTAAACAAAAGAAATAAAATGGCGACAAGTCAACGTCAACGACCCGACAAGAAGAAAAGTGGTGTTCGAATAACAAATTATGGGTCACCAAAAATTGTTTTTGTCTCCATTAAACGCACACTTTAGAAAGAAAAAGAGATGAACTGTAATACTGAAAGAACGTCACGGTTTTATCTGTCACTCTTGTCGATAATTTACCGGTAAGGAAGATTCCTAGAAAATCGCTTGTAGTCAAGTTTTGAACCATTGCCAGTTGTCCCATAAGAAGTGTCATCCACCTGGTTTTACCTATTCATTCACTATCTGTGAGATATTGTAAATACTCGATTGTAAATTGTATGGAAGGGGACAGTGGCGGCTCGTGAGGGTAGGTCTTAAAATGAAGGAACGATTTATTTTTTGTATCTAGATTTTTATTTAATCCCAGTATAACAATTCACAACACTCAATTCCATAAACTCAATAAAACCAAAAAAAATATATATAAATAAAATATAAATACACCCAGGTTCAGGGGCAACATAAACCGCGTAAACACAGTCAAAAAATAACGTGTATGGGTTGGAAAACCAGAGGCTCTATAAAGTTGAGGTAGACTTGCTGCTTTCATACAGCCGGTTGTTATTCGGCACGTTTCATTTAAAGCAAAGTCAACTTGTTTCGCATGACTCGATCTGCTCCATACAGAGCAAGCGTATTTGCCTGTTGAAAAACATAGAGTTCGTGCCGTGTCGTTGGGAAGGTTCCGATGATCGCCATCTACTTTATGGAGAGTTCCAGAGACCGAGCAGACTCCGCTCACGATAAAACTTCTTAAAATCTGTTCCGGAAGATCCACCATCTACCCTCTACCCTTCTATCTACCCTACCACTACCTACCAGACTACCCTCTTAAGGAAAAAGTTCCCACAGGCCGACATCTTGATATGGCGAAACCCAAAATATGGAGCATCTGCTGTCCTGCAGAAGTTGCCCTCGTACCTGTAGCCTACGCCGAAGAAAATGCTATAGACGTTGCTCGGTATTGGTTTAAGAATTTTAAATTGCACTTATTTAGGTATATACATATTTTTTATTGTCCACGGACACGAAACAGTAAAAGTAAGTCCTCTTGAGGACGGTTCCGATCCAGTTAGTGGAGTGTTCCCTCAATTTCTAGCTATATCGTTTGCTTCTTAGAAGTTAAAAAGACTTCCTCATCACTTTTTTATGAAATAATTATTAAAATAATAAAAGCCGTTTATACCAGTTCATGTGCATAACTATAAAAAACACGAAATATTAGAACATAAAGTAATCTGGGAACACCTGGAAACTTGAAACGACAAAATCATTAAAGTTTACAGAATAAATATTTGGTTTTGTAAACTTTGACAAAATAATAGACTAAATTCGAAGTTATTAGCTGTTATTACTTATTGATCTCCCCCTGTAAACGAAAGACTAGAATATAGTGGCACAGATAATACTGTAGTTCATTTAGCTCAAAAAACGCATGTCTGGAGCCATCTATCAGAAAGTCCCGAGACCAAGTCCGGTTTAAAACAACAATTGCTTTATTTTTGAATTTTACTTTAACAGAAGTTGACGGTAGATGCCGCTATTTAAGGATTTGTATTACAGTAATGGTATTAAAATTACTCAATTTTAATCACTATAATAACACTATTATCATCACGTGTATATCGGTTATATTACAGGATATAGAATAGTTAAAAAAATCATGATTTCTAGCAAAAACCCCATTAGTCAGATATTTAGAAATTTGGAAAAACTAAAAAAAAAACGTATAAAAAAAATATAAAAATTTCTCCGTTGCGTTTTTTTGCATCTGATCGAGTGTAGAATGCAGTGGAGTGGTCAGAGTTTCATGAAATTTACATAGATTCACTAATAAAAATTTAAACAAATCTCAATATCCATTTTACTAAAACAAATGAATAAATGTGAACTTTATTAAATATCTTTATTGACTGATAACACTATAAAAGGATTTATAAACAATATTTAAATAATAATTAGTTTTCTGCTTTGAGCATTAATATACATAAAAAATATTTTTGGCAGTATTACATTATAATTATTAGAATAAATTATTAAGCCACTGAAATGCCTGAAATCACATCATAATATATAACAAATATATACGAATCAATAAGTAAACAAGGGCTAATAAATAATAATAAATTTAATATAGAATATTGTTCACACAATGGAAAAATGTATATAAAATAAGCTTAAACATATTTACTTAATAAAAAGCAACATATTAGTAATCATTTGCAAAACGGAATAGCCTAAGAGCTGACGACATATTTAGAGAACATATTTTAGGCAAGCTAGAATAACTAAAAATGTATAGTTTATTAACTGGTGAACCCAGAATCCTAAGTCTGGCTGAGGGGTTGGGGGTATTTCGCTACTGCGCAACCCATAACATTTGCAAAAAAATAAATCAAAAAACATTCTTTTAGGCAACTTGAAATTTGTTTATTCTTAAATTTTAGCATCTATTTAACCTAGAAATAAGTGTGCCTGACTTTTTTTCGGTTTAAAAGTGTAACCAGACCACCATTCCAAATATGTTTTAATTATTATACCTGGAAAACATACTTTAGGCATTCTAAAATTTTTAGAGCGTGTTTATTAGATGACATTAAAATATGTGTTAATTGCCAGACGAATTCAATGGGATTTAATACTTGCCAGACGCAAATAAAAGATTTTAAATGAGCGCGATAAGAAAGTCTTATCAATATCTATAAGCGCGAGAAAGATAGTTTATTGAGACCCGGTCGGCAATCGATGCGGCTGAAGTAACAGCATTTTGGAGTCGTAAAAACTTAAAAAAACTAACTAATATTGAATAAATAAAAAAACATTTTTAATAAAAATGTATGATTGAAATCCTTTCAATAAGAAGACTTTAATTTCAGTATTTTGTATCTGAAAGAATAAAAAGACGAATAAATAATTATTTAAAAATTAGCATAATATAACATATATTTTTAAACGTCACAAAAGTATAATTATTATTATACTTTTGTGACATATTATCATTATTATTAATTTTTGCGACCTGATTGACAATATAAAAAAAGTCATTTTAACGCCTAAGCATAAAAGTAAAGCACTTTTACTTACTTTTGAATCTATTTAGAAAGATTAACAATGGTACTTTAATAAAATTCCAGAATACTTATTTTTTAGCACTGTACATGGTACCCTTTTGTCGGGACTACGTTTTCTGGTAAAAACCACTTCTTTAAATTTTAAACCATGTTGTTGGCGCACTTTTAAAATTCTTTGCATTTTGTAGTCTGCCTTCATCAAAAACAATAACTTTGTCACTAGTAACTTTTTTTACAAACTACACAACTTAAATGTTTTTTATCCATTGTGATTTAGTAGTTAGTAGCGAAATTAGTAGTTACTAAAATATTTATTTGCAGTAATTATTCTAAACTATTTACACTATGCACGTCAATATTTAATTTATAAATACATATTTGTACATGGTAACTTAATTCCAACAAAATAATCTCTGAATTAAAAGCCTGCAAATAATTGAAACCGAAAAAAATAGTTTTTATGAAAATTTGAAGTACTCCAAAATACTGTTACGTCAGCCGCATCGGCTGCCGACGCGACATTTCTCAATAAACTATCTTTCTCGCGCTTATAGATACTCATAAGACTTTTTTGTCGCGCTCATTTAAAATCTTTATTCGCGTCAGGCAAGTATTAAAACACGTTGAATTCGTCTGGCAATTAACACATATTTTTTAATATCATCTAATAAACACGCTGTAAAAATTTTAGAATGCCTAAAGTATGTTTTCCAGGTATAATAATTAAACATATTTGGAATGGTCGGGTTACACTTTAAACCCGAGAAAAAAGTCTGGCTTACTTATTTCTAGGTTAAATAGATGCTAAAATTTAAGAATAAACAAATTTCAAGTTGCCTAAAGAATGTTTTTAGGATTTATTTGTTTGCAAATGTTATGGGTTGCGCAGTAGCGAAATACCCCCAACCCCCCAGCCAGACTCAGGATTCTGGGTTCACAAGTTATTAAACTTTATTTTTTTTGTTATTCTAACTTGCCTAAATATGTTCTCTAAATATGTCGCCAGCTCTCCGACTAGAATAGGACTTAAAGGTGTGTTAAAAGACTAAAATCTATCATCATGTAAGAAAATAAAATATAAAGATTTCAAATACTTCAATGACTCTTATTTTAAAAGCTTAATCTGAGGTAACTTTGTTAGAAATGCACTCTAGGACTGCTTCGAAGAAGTCGGGAAAGCCATCGTAACCTGAAACAATATCGAAACCTATTAACGGTATTTAAAAATTCGATTTTTATTTTATTTTTTTATTATTTCCAGGGGCGTGCGGTCAAAGCGAAAGCAGGGGACGCTTCCCTATATGTTGAGACAAAAACGGAACAAGTTTTTTAATTAATAATTTATAACAATTGATGTGAATTTAGGTAGTGGATTATACAGGGTGAGTTTCCTACGATGTTCTCTATGGGTATCTCGGAAACTACTGGAGATAGCGAGTCGGTTAAATGGGGGAAGAATTGCAGTTTTGTGGGATCATAAATATGCGCCTTTCAGATTTTTGAAAAAGTCCATTTCGAAAAAAACAAATTTCGGCTATTTTGAAAATTGTCCCTAATTCCATTATAATCTATTTTAGACAAAATGTTTTCAGATAAAAGTTGTAGATAATCACATCCTTAATGAGATTGTGTCCTTCGTTTTTTTCTAAAGCCTGTCATTTTTCACATATGACACAAATATATGTTTTTTTAAATGGAAACCGTAGTTGGCTATGACTTCATAAAAAGCGCCATTTTTTAAGCTTTTCAGCGATTTAAGCTATAATATGTTTTCTTCGAAAAATTACTGAGTTATAGTAAAGCACTTCAGGCCGAGTGGAGGGGAGCGTCAGTCGAGTACCTTGGCTGAAGCAGCTCCAGAGAGACAGTTTGTGGTCGCACGTGAAACAGTGAGGTTCGAGTCCGGAGTGCCCTGCCAAGTGTCCTGCTGCCAGCCGCCTGTCGCCGCACTGTATAAGGTAAGCACCCACCGCCAAAGTGATCGAGAGTAGGTCGTATTCTTTTATTGTTAATGACGTTTACTTTACTGCCTTAACGCGTTACCGGGATAAGGGAGACAGAGATATGTATATTTGCTCAGATAGGCGCAACTATGCACCTCTACGGAGGCTGGAGGCTATTTGAACGAATCGCGCGAGCGCAAAGACATAGCAAAACTTATATGCGATCAGGTAGATCAAACTGTGCACCTCTACGGAGGCTGGGGGATATTTGATCGGATCACGTGGACGCGAGGAATGATTTCTTTTGTTAAAAGGGAGAGAGTGAGACAGCTAACGGTTAAGGTAGTTCAGTAAACGCCCGGGTCGCGAATATTCAAGGAGCTAGAACAAGATCTCGCCCAAATCCCGAGGCTGGTTTTGTAGCTTCCGTATTTTCTAGGTGTGTCGTCCAGACGGCATCCTGCATCAGTGACGCTGGACGGGATCTCGCCGAAATCCCGAGGTTGTCCTGCCCGGGCGGTGTGTGTGCGGGCTGCGCTTATCCAAACGACGTACAACTCGCCGAGACGTCGCTAACGTCTACGTCGATCCAGGGCTCGCGTTTGTGTATCCCTCGGGACGCTGTTAACTTCGCGATCGATCCAGGACTCGCGTTTGCGTATCCCACAGGACGCTGTTAACTTCGCGGTCGATCCAGGACTCGCGTTTGCGTTATCCCACAGGACGCTGTTAACTTCGCGATCAATCCAGGACTCGTGTTTGCGTATCCCACAGGACGCTGTTAACTTCGCGGTCGATCCAGGACTCGCGTTTGCGTATCCCACAGGACGCTGTTAACTTCGAGATCTATCCAGGGCTCGCGTTTGTGTATCCCACGGGACGCTGTTAACTTCGCGATCGATCCAGGGCTCGCGTTTGTGTCCCACAGGACGCTGTTAATTTCGCGATCGATCCAGGACTCGCGTTTGTGTATCCCGGGACGCTTTTAACTTCGACGCGTTTCGTTGTCAAAACGGACGCCGTTCCGAGAAATATTTAGCTGTGACCATCGGGACGCCTGTAACGACGTCGCCGCCGTTTAGAGAGTCGCGTCGTAGTAGAGTGTGTTGCTCCGGTACTTACGTGTCTGTGTTCATTAGGACGCCGCTAAATTCGACGCCGATCAGGAACTCGCGTCGTTTTATTTAATAGAACGTCATTGCGGGAACGCGTTTTGAATTCACGGGATAGAATCAGTCAGAGAGTTACATATCGGGAATAATCGATCAAAACTCTAGAGGTACATGGTTGTTATTGTAAATTTTACTTTACGGGTCTTTAAATATACATTTTATTTCACTATTCTTACGATTCGAGGACGTGAACCTTCCTGGATAATTTTTGTACATAATTAATTAGTTAAATAAAAACCTAGTGTTACGTTATAGTTAATTGTGTGCTTTATTTTCTTTTCATCTCATCACTCCCTGGTATCTCCACTGTATAAAAGCTACCCTTACTGGCACTAGTGGTCTCTCAAACACTTTAAACGTTGGGGGTGGCGCCCGAGGAACCGAACCAAGGCAACTCGGCGTCCGTGACCTTTCTCTAAAACGGGGGAGCGTCACAAATTAAACCAATAATAATCCTACACACTTTTCTTCAGTTGAAAAATTGATATTTACAATTTTTGTTTATTTTAAGTTACAAAGTTTGGATGTGACAGTTTGATATTTCTTAGAGCAACGACGATTGAACTTGTTTCCATGGCTAACTAAGTGAAATTGTTTAAAAATTACAGTAATTTTAAGAAAACATATTATACAGTACATCTGCTGGATATGTGTCTATGAAAGGAATGCGGACAAAAAACATTTAAATAAACAACAATATATTTTATACGTCGATTTGACGAGTGCGTCACCGCAAATCGCTCCGCCCACTCATTTTATTGGCTACTTGCGAATTTGTTGAATTTTTATTGATGGGACGCGTCGCCTATTTTTTTACGAAAAACATCGAGAGAATATCGTTTCCCCTCTCACGGATACCCCGTAGCTACAGAACGGACAGACGTACTGTAGCTTATATCGCCGAAAAGCTTAAAAAATGGCGCTTTTCATGAAGTCATGGCCAACTATGGTTTCCATTTAAAAAAAACATATGTTTGTGTCATATGTCAAAAATGACAGGCTTTAGAGAAAAACGGAGGAGACAATCTCATTAAGGATGTGATTATCTACAACTTTTATCTGAAAACTTTTTTCTAAAATAGCTTATAATGGAATTACGGACAATTTTTAAAATAGCCGAAATTTGTTTTTTTCGAAATATCTAGTAAGCCATGAACTTTTTCAAAAATCTGAAAGGCGCATATTTATGACCTCACAAAACTGCAATTCTTTACCCATTTAACTGACTCTCTACCTCCTGTAGTTTCCGAGATACCCATAGAGAACATCGTAGAAAACTCACCCTATATATTTATGATCTTGAATGTCTTAAGTATACAAAAATATTTTTCGACTTTTTTTTTACTACCTTTACCGAATCGTTTCCTCTTCTAAAAATTTAACCGCATGCCACTGATTATCTCTAAACATATCATTAATCAGCCATATAAAAAGAAATCGAAAAAAGCTGGCGTGCACGTCATTAAAGACGTCAAAACTATTACCAAATTAAAATTCGTTTAAAATTAGAACGCACGTTTTCCCTTTTTTCTAATCTTACATCCTGGTCAGCAAAAAACAGCACGCTGTCGTATCTTTATCGGCTTTAGGTGGGTAATCATAGAAAATGTTGCCGGTTGTCATGAGATTTTTTCGTTTTTTTTTCTAATCTGACATTTGCCATTTTCAATTTTCTCTCAGTTTTCTATGACAAATTTTAAATTAAAACTGAATTTATTTAGATAAAATTGCAATTTGCAACAGTCGGGAGAAAACATTAAAAAGTCGGAAAAACTTGCTTAATTAAAAGCTTCTTTTAATTAGAATTTGTTTGTATAATAACCATACAAATTATGTCTACAGTACGTCTGCTGGATCTGTGTTTATGAAAGGAATGCGGACAAAAAACATTTAAATAAACAACAATATATCTTATACGTCGACTTGACGAGTACGTCACCGCAAATCGCTCCGCCCACTCATTTTATTGGCTACTTGCAAATTTGTCGAATTTTTATTGATGGGACGCGTCGTCTAATTTTTTACGAAAAACATCGAGAGAATATCGTTTCCCCTCTCACGGATACCCCGTAGCTACAGAACGGACAGATGTACTGTAAAACTAAAGTGACAAATTGGTGACAAAGAATTTTGACACATGTCAAAATCAAAGAAAAAAAAAGTAACCGTGGCAACATGGCGACGTGCGTTTGTCAAATTTTGATGCAATCTTGCCAACCGTAACTGAGTCCGTTATGGTGGCGGATTTTTAGCCCTTGCAGCGGAATTAGTGCCCATAAAAAAATTTAAATTTTGTCTTATTTCAAGCAAACCAAAAAATTATCCAGAGTATAATTTGCTTTATTAGGATAATTTACTACTATTTACTTAATTTCTTTGCGACTATACCGGGTGCGTCTCAAAAGTGGCTCACCCCCTATAACTTTTTTATTTTTTCAGAAAAAAAAAACGCGATTTGGTATGTTAGTATATGACATTAATTAGGATTGATTAACGTATTCAATTATTGTTTTTGGTCACGTCCTGTCTCACCGGAAATGGCTACAATTTTTGATTTTTAAATTACACTCTCGGTATTTTTTTTACTTTATTCGATAGAAAATGACCCTCTGAATAGAATGACATATCATATGTCAACTTTTGACATTTTCGTAATGATTTATTTGAAATAGTAACATGCGGTTCATAACGACAATTTGACTCGAAATACCAAGTGAGTGGTACCAAGACAGCCATGTCACAGCTTAAGTAAAAACCAGCTCGGACAGTGTAGCGTGCCGCTTTGATCTTTTTACGCTCGGATTTGCGATTCGAAAGAGGGGGAACACTGGAGCGGCGAGCTCTCTCGCCAAAACCAATAGCCGCGTAAGCGCCAGTCAGCCCAGAGATGTATTCAAAAAAATTTTTACGTGACGTAGAAAATTATTCGACTGGTGCTAGAACATAATTTATATACACGTTTTTTAAATTGTTGACTTTAAATAAATATGCATTCTCAAAGAAAAACATTTAAAAAACAAATTAATTAATTTATTTCTAGAAATAACAGCAAAATGAAATAGGTACATTGATTACTTATAATTATTTACGAATGTTTCTAAATTAGGAGCTTTCGGTTTTTGTTTGCTACATTTAAGTTCTTATTGATATTCTTTAAGGTATAATAAATTCTAACTTTTGCGTATAATTTTAACAAAAAATACATTATAGGAAAATTTTGATTGATGGTTGAATTTAATTGTCTGAAATAATTTAACGAATTTACATAATATATTTTCATTTAAGGAAAGTTCTTCAAAATTGTTCTGAAAAATTTTATAAAAAAACTTTTTTAAAAACAAGTTTTTATTTAAATACACTAAAAAGAATGAAATAAACTTTTTCAACAAACATACATACATACATAGATAGTTACATACAAAGCAAGTTAAATAAAAGCTTATAAAAATAGCCTCCAATGAGGAAACTAAATAAAAAAATGGTCACTTGGCATTAGCAAGCCTCCAAATAAGTAGTCTTCATCGTTTTGAAAAGCTCTAAAGTGTGAATATACTTTTGAATTGAACATTAAATTTGAATTGAATTGAAAACTAAACAGACTATATTTTGAATTATTTCCATAATTATTTGTGCAACCAGCAGCCGCACATCCCGGAAAACCTTTTCCCATTCCATCAATAAAAATAAAATTGAAATAAAAGCACAAATACCTATGGTTAAATATAAGAAAAAAAATCGAATTAAAATCTTCCGTAATACACCGGTGGAAGCTATGCATCGACTGAATGAGGCTGACTGTCGGTCGCTTAATTCAGTTAGCGCATCGTCGGAGTGGGGCGTTTTAAATTCGAGCGTGGGAAAAATTGGCGAGTGTCAAAGCTATGTTATTCTGTAAGCTGTGGCCATGTCACTCTAGATTGAAATTTAAAATGTTATTTTTTTTATATTAAAAATGTCAAAAGTTGACATATATCTCATTCTATTCAGAGTATTATTTTCTATCGAATCAAGTCAACACAGTCTTGATGACGTGCACAACCACTTTGATCGATTTTCCTATACCTGGATAAGCGTTTACATCGATGATAGCGTATCTTCCTGTCGATTTATCTATCACAACATCAATTCCTAACAAATCCATTCCGAAAGATTTCCGTAGCGTGTTCGCTATAACCTCCATGACTTTTGGATCCGGCTCCCACGTTTCTTTCACCACATCCCCAGGATCTAGCACAGATAGCCTGCTTTTCGAATCTGCTTTCGACACGTCGCTGCTGTCGAAATATATCGACTCTCTTTGACTAGCGTGGAAATTTTTCAGAGACGGGCGTTCGACAAAGCAAAACTTATTACCTACTATAAATATTTTGTACAGGATGGCATTGTGGTTGATAAAACTCTGAGCTACGCACGGAGTTTTACAGTCTACGAGGTATTTCTCGTCGAAAATTATTGACATTTCGTGGGCTTGTCGAGAACCGTGCCCCAATATCGGTTTACATATAAAAGGGTAGGTGACTAGTGAATTTGTCAGCTGTTCTCTAATTGAATCTAAGTCGTCGTTTCTAAGTACGCAAAAATTCGGAGTGAATACGCCGTAACTATGAAGGTTCGTGGCGTGTATTATACTATAGCAATTATATCTATCTAGCAATTTTTTTACATTTGGAATGGGATCGACAACTACAACCGTTGGATTTTGTTCTAAATATTTCTCCACGTCGGTTATTATCTCCATGCTCTGAAATAAGAAAAATAACCAGAATAATTAATCTACATAACAATACAGGGTGTTTCAAAAACCATGTGCCATCCTCGTGGGGAGATACCGAACGTAAAAATAAGATTTATTTTTATTCCACATAGATCCAATTGTGCTTTGCTTCTCCCATTTACTTATTCTTCCTTTCGTTTTTCATTTAATAGCAAAATAAAAACACTAAATCACCACAATACACCAAAACACTTACAGCGGACGCGCGTTTCGCTAACCATGTTAGCATCATCAGCAGATGATTATAAACTAAAGTACAATCTACAAGTTGAGCGTTTATATACTCGCTCAGTGGGCACCGAGTGGGCGTGGCAAAATCTAGCCAACCGAGTCAGAGCCCACTGAGCGTAACAGTTAGATTTCCGCCACTAGAGTAGTAGGAACAAAGAACTTGAAGGAATTGGACCGTTGTCTCTGTTCATACTATCTTTACATTTATTAATTCTGATGCTTTTATATGCATCTAATTGCCTGTAATTTGAGACTTGTTTAATTAATTTTAAATTATTAAGATCTATACAATGTTCTTTATCAACAATATGTTCGGCAACGAAAGATTTATCCGGTCGACTATATCTTATCTGAGCTAAATGTTCTTTAAATCTAGTTAATATTGATCTTCTAGTTTGCCCAACATATTTCTGATTACAATCTTTACAAGAAATTTCATAAATACCCGACCTTTCCAGTTTTATCCTTTGGATTACCTAATAATTGTTGTAATTTATTATTAACACTATACACAAGTTTATAACTGACATTCTTAAAAATTCCTTTTAGACCACGGGATAACTCTCTATCAAACGGTATCGAAAAATATTTAGACGTATCTTTCTCCACTTGAAAAGTCGAATTTTCATAAACTTAGCAATTAGATGCATATGAAAGCATCAGAATTAATAAATGTAAAGATAGTATGAACAGAGACAACGGTCCAATTCCTTCAAGTTCTTTGTTCCTACTACTCTAGTGGCGGAAATCTAACTGTTACGCTCAGTGGGCTCTGACTCGGTTGGCTAGATTTTGCCACGCCCACTCGGTGCCCACTGAGCGAGTATATAAACGCTCAACTTGTAGATTGTACTTTAGTTTATAATCATCTGCTGATGATGCTAACATGGTTAGCGAAACGCGTGTCCAGTGTAAAAGTAAAAGTGTTTTGGTGTATTGTGGTGATTTAGTGTTTTTTTTTTGTTGTAGTGAAACCAGAAATAATCCCTAAAAGGCGACCATCACAGTCTTTCTGCCGAGGAGCAAAGGGAAAGACACCACCTACCTGCTGAGTCTTATCCAGGCTCAGAACTCCAATGGAAGGACATCGAGTTGGCGAGTCATCAGCTTTTTTCGTTTTCCTGTTATTGCCGATTCTGAATCGTCCTAGAACTCTGCAGCGCATGCGCAAATGAAATAATGTCTTCATATTTCCTTCTGCGCATACGCATCACAGATCTAGGACAGTTCAGAATCGGTAATAACAGGAAAACGAAAAAAGCTATCAACTCTAGGGAAGAGGGCTATGGTTAGGTCTTTGACCTCAAATCCAAGGAGGCAATAGAGAAAAAGAGATATATCCTCTATTATAGATTCGGGACAACACCGGTATCAGGTCTAAGAAAAGACCAAGTTAAAAAGAATGGAGACAATCCTCCAGCCTCCAGTCGGAGACAAGCTCCTCGACTGTGAAGGGCACGAAGGGTCAAATTCCAACCATGGAAGGGTTTTTAATTGTTTTTGTAATATCCTGTCAACTATATTATTTATAAAAGGACCGGTATACATAACTATTCCCAGAGATTTGCAAGTTTTCCTCATTAAATTTGCTCAAAAGGTTTTTTTTTTAGTTTACCAGTTAGATGCAATAAAAAGTGTGTTGGACCTTGTCATATTTGGGAAACCCTTAGAATCTATCATTTTTTCCAACTGTATGAGTTGGAAAAAATGATAGATTTATATAAATTTTATACAAATTTGTTTGCAAAAACCACAGTGAGAGACTAATCAATTGTATTATCTGTAAATATCCATCAATACAAGAAGACTAAATACTATTTAATATGATCTAAAAAAAAACGGCGTCCAGTTGGCTGGAAAATGACGATCGATGACATTTTCCATATAAATTTACATATCAAATAGCAGCGATCTTCATTTCATAGCCATCGCTGACGCTGTTTTTTGTTTCAATCATACGGTTTTTAGATATATTGTTTAGTTTACTTCCAGTGATTTAAAATGTTTTAATTCTTTCTTTTGTATGTTTAAATATTATGTTTGGTTCCTTTTATTATAATATGTTCATAATACAATAATAAATCAATACCACAACGCGCCCAGTCTTGTGATTCTTAAGTACGCGCCTGCCAGAGGGTTAATTTTATTAATTGTAATTAATAAAAGTAAGTGGCGCACCTTTAATCACCTGCTGATGAAGTTAACATGGTTAGCGAAACGCGCGTCCAGTGCAAAAGTTAACTGTTTTGGTGTATTGTGGTGAATTAGTGTTTTATTTTACTTTTTTAGCATTAAATTATGTATTGCATAAAGTAACTTTCACACACAAAATATCATTTGAATCGGTAAAGACGCTTAGAAGCAAATTATAATAAATTTTAAAAAAAGAATACTAACCCCTGCAGCTACAAAACAAAGCAGAATTGGATCTACCTATGTCGATACAAAAAATAAATCTTATTTTTACCTATGTGAGGAATCTCCCCACGAGATGGCACATGTTTTATGAAACAGCCTGTAGATTCAACACTTTTTCATCCTGCTAAAATTATAAACAAAAAATATTCCCACAGAAAACTATGGGAATAATGTTATTAATATTAAACACGTATTAAACAGATGCTAAACATTTTTACACGATGACTCATATTGGCCATACATTATGAAGTAATATTAAATAAAGTCCTATTCAAAAATGAAATTATAAGCTTCCCTGATCATAATTAATTAACAAAAGTTTCAAATTTAAGTTATTACTGACGACTAAATGCAAATAAGCAAACTATAAAATAAACTCTAAAACATATAATTACCAGCAATGAAATAAACATAAACGACACACTCATTACTTATTCAACTATAATGTAAACAAGAGGAACATCATACCTCGTCTATAGATTATTTGTTTCTAAATTGCACGTAATAATAAACAACATAATTTCTTTTGTACTTACCCTTAGATCACCTTGATTTGCTGAAGCAATAATATCAGTTAGCTTATGAAGTAGTACACAAAATGGGGCTTGCCCTTCTAGATTTTTATTTAAATCCAGCTAGAAAATATATAGAAAACATACAAAAATAACATTTCTAGACAACTTACTTTAAAAAGTTCAAAACCATGTTTATTAGAGACGGATACAAATTCCTGCCAGTTTACTTTCTGCAATTTTTTCTCCGACATCCACACCGCTATTCGCTTATTTGGTGGCATTTTATAGCCTTTAACAACCACCAGCAATAAATAATGAACTTTACTTTTAGTCAACCATGCCAATATTTAATATTTCCTTGAAAACAAACATTTTTGTCAACAAAAAGCTGTCAATGTCGTCAAATCACACGTCAAATGTCAAGTTGAAAGGTCATTTTTCTTCTTCTATTCATATTAATGGCGACTGTATAAAAATGGTTCTTCTTCTTCTGAAATATGGCCACTTGCCTTTAAAGCATTCGGCCAGCTCTTAGATAATAGTTCAAATGAACATATGGAAGCAGGGCTGTACATTTTTATATTGGAATGTTCGATCGCTTTCATCATCGTCGTCTATTTTACTTGAGCATACGTCACTGAAAGACCTGTTGGTAAAGCGTATTATTTATCATGTTGGATATAAATATTTTTGAAGATAATATTTTTATTTTAGTAATAATTTTATCTTATCTCTGTAATCTGAGATTGCAGAATACCGGGTGCATCTCAAAAGTGGCTCACCCCTATCAAGCACCCCCTATAACTTTTTTATTTTTTCAATGAAAAAAACGAGATTTGGTATGTTAGTATATGACATAAATTAGGATAGATTGACGTATTCAATTGTTTTCGGTCACTTCCTGTTTCACCGGAAATTACTACAACTTATGATTTTTAAACGGCACCTTCGATATTTTTTTACTTTATTCAATAGAAAATAACACTCTGAATAGAATGACATATCATATGTCAACTTTTGATTTTGACATTTAGGCATATGGTTTATTTGAAATTATAACTTGCGGTTCGTAATGAAAATTTGACTCGAAATACCAAGTGTGTGGTACCAAATTATTCGTAAAAAATGCTTCTTCCAAATATGCTAATGAGCCATCCTCGTTCCATTTGAAAAAATTGAGATATGATTAAAAATAAGATTCGAGTATTTTAAAACTGGCCAGGACAAAACACTAAAAATATTAGACGGTCAAATCTATTTTTCCAAAGCTTCTTGATTAAGAATTAGTGTTTTTAACATAGCCATGGCACTCTGGACTGAATTTTAAAATACATTTTTTTTAGTGAGAATGTCAAAAGTTGACATACTTGTCATATTTCATTCTATTCAGAATGTCATTTTCTATCGAATAAAGTAAAAAAATACCGAGGGTGCCATTTAAAAATGAAAAGTTGTAGTCATTTCCGGTGAAACAGGAAGTGACTGAAAACAATTGAATACGTCAATCAATCCTAATTTATGTCATATACTAACATAGCGGTGATCCACTTTTGAGACGCACCCGGTATATGGGTTTACAAAGAAATATCCATTTATGAAGATTTCTAGAGCTACACTTTGATTAAGAAAATACAAAATAGGAAAGAGCACATTTTAGAAAAAAAAAGCCTTCATTCTTTTAAAAATTTATTAAAAATTGACATAATTAAAATAACAAATCTCTTATATGAATGTTAAAGGCACAGTAAAAATAATTTGAACTATAAAAATACACTTAACAATGTAACAGCTTATTGAATAACCAGCTAGACATAGTTCATTCTATGCCTCCTTGCTACCATGTACTGATATAGTCTGTCCATCGAGAAAATACATAATAGTGACAGGTGGATGTACGCAAACTTTCAAAATATGCCAAGATATTAGCCGGAGAGCTGACGACATATTTAGAGAGCATATTTTAGGCAAGTTAGAATAACAAAAAAATCAAGTTTAATAACTTGTGAACCCAGAATCCTAAGTCTGGCTGGGGGATTGGGGGTATTTCGCTACTGCGCAACCCATAACATTTGCAAAAAAATAAATCCAAAAAACATTCTTTAGGCAACTTGAAATTTGTTTATTCTTAAATTTTAGCATCTATTTAACCTAGAAATAAGTGTGCCAGACTTTTCTTTCGGGTTTAAAGTGTAACCAGACCATTCCAAATATGTTTAATTATTATACCTGGAAAACATACTTTAGGCATTCTAAAATTTTTACAGCGTGTTTATTAGATGATATTAAAAAATATGTGTTAATTGCCAGACGAATTCAATGGGATTTAATACTTGCCAGACGCGAATAAAGATTTTAAATGAGCGCGATAAGGAAGTCTTATGAGTATCTATAAGCGCGAGAAAGATAGTTTATTGAGACCCGTCGGCAGCCGATGCGGCTGACAGTATTATGCGGCTGACAGTAACAGTATTTTGGAGCACTTCAAATTTTCATAAAAACAATTTTTTTTCGGTTTCATTTCAATTATTTGCAGGCTTTTAATTCAGAGATTATTTTGTTGGAAAAATTAAGTTACCATGTACAAATATGTATTTACAAATTAAATATTGACGCGCATAGTGTAAATAGTTTAGAATAATTACTGCAAATAAATATTTTAGTAACTACTAATTTCGCTACTAACTACTAAATCACAATGGATAAAAAACATTTAAGTTGTGTAGTTTGTAAAAAAGTTACTAGTGACAAAGTTATTGTTTTTGATGAAGGCAGACTACAAAAATGCAAATAATTTTTAAAAGTGCGCCAACAACATGGTTTAAAATTTAAAGAAGTCGTTTTACCAGAAAACGTAGTCCCGACAAAAGGGTACCATGTACAGTGCTAAAAAAAAAGTATTCTGGAATTTTATTAAAGTACCATTGTTAATCTTCTAAATAGATTCAAAAGTAAGTAAAAGTGCTTTTACTTTTATGCTTAGGCGTTAAAATGACTTTTTTATATTGTCAATCGGGTCGCAAAAATTAATAATAATATAATGTGTCACAAAAGTATAATAATTATACTTTTGTGACGTTTGAAAAAAATATATTTTATATTATGCCAATTTTTAAATAATTATTCGTCTTTTTATTCTTTCAGATACAAAATACTTAAATTAAAAAGTCTTCTTATTGAAAGGATTTAAATCATACATTTTTATTAAAAAATGTTTCTTTTTATTTATTCAATATTAGTTAGTTTTTTTTAAGTTTTTACAACTCCAAATGCTGTTACGTCAGCCGCATCGGCTGCCGACCGGGTCTCAATAAACTATCTTTCTCGCGCTTATAGATACTCATAAGACTTCCTTATCGCGCTCATTTAAAATCTTTATTCACGTCTGGCAAGTATTAAATCCCATTGAATTCGTCTGGCAATGAACACATATTTTTTAATGTCATCTAATAAAAACGCTGTAAAAATTTTAGAATGCCTAAAGTATGTTTTCCAGGTATAATAATTAAACATATTTGGAATGGTCTGGTTACACTTTAAACCCGAAAGAAAAGTCTGGCACACTTATTTCTAGGTTAAATAGATGCTAAAATTTAAGAATAAACAAATTTCAAGTTGCCTAAAGAATGTTTTTTGGATTTATTTTTTTGTAAATGTTATGGGTTGCGCAGTAGCGAAATACCCCCAACCCCCCAGCCAGACTTAGGATTCTGGGTTCACCAGTTAATAAACTATACATTTTTAGTTATTCTAGCTTGCCTAAAATATGTTCTCTAAATATGTCGTCAGCTCTTAGGCTATATCTAGCTGGGTGTTGAATGAGCTGCGACAATGCAATAGATGATATTTCCTAAAGCTACAATATTTAAAATATTATGATTATGTAAAAGGCCTCAGTGATTGTACAAGTTAAGTTGAACAACAAAATTAAGCTACATATGTATCAGGACTGGTTCAATAATTATGGAATTGAAGGAAGACGCTATACCTTACCGATGTCAAACGTCAAAATACTCAAAAACTCTCGTGATTCCTACTATATCAAACAAATTAGATCAAAATCGGACCAATTGCAATATGAAAAACCCTTGAAACGTCCACATAATTTCTAATATCCCTCGAACTCGTAAAACTGTAGAATGCAGAGTAAAAGAACTTACATTTCAAATCGTTATTTAGATAATATACCTATATGTAAAAATACTTTATTTCTTGATAAATGTAGTTACCGGTTCCTGCCGTTCCTTCTCTAAGTTATTTCTGGTAAGATTAAATGCTTCAGTTTTTGCAAAGTCGACTTTCTTGTAGACGGTATCACTTTCAACTGTTTTTGGTAACGATGATTTTGTCGAGGTTGACGAACCTAAAAGGTGACGAAATACTTTTTTAATAAATTTTTGTTATTTTTAATATAAAATTCAATTGAAGAGTACTCCCTCCAGGGGCGGCTCGTAGCACTGGAAGATGGTGAGGCACATTAGAAGAGAATTTTTATTAGTATGTAATAGGGTGTACGAGGAAGTTCTATATAAAAAAAGTACATATCCTAAAAAAATATTTTCTTTAAAATTGCAATCGCATTACCATTTTTCTGTACAGAATTGGGTTCAGCATAAAATTCAGCATACATCACACTATTGACTTATTTGAAGCACTATATATGCGGGATTTCCATGATAATTCATATTTGAAAAATGTCTTTTAAAAAGTGGTAAAAACCTGGAGTGAATTTATCTTATTGATATATTATTGCTTAAGTAAGTATAATATAGCGAGGGATGTAGGATAAAAGAAGAAATCCGAGAAAAATTCACATTCGCAGGGATTTCTTTATGGCGCGGCCAACACTGCAATATTATAATGCTATATCTCAGTTTTTTTTTAAATGCAATACGCACTGTATATAATTTTTAGTATTTTAGATACCTACAGACTTAAAAAGCGCACATTTGTGTATTTAAAATATTTCTAAATTTTTAGCAGTTGCGGAAATAGCCTTATGTAATATAATTCGCAGTATTATACCGTATGATCGAAAAAAAACGGCGTCCAGTTGGCTGGGAAATGACGATCGATGACATTTCCCATATAAATTTACATATAAAATGACAGCGATCTTCATTTCATAGCCAACGCTGACGCCGTTTTTTCTCGATCATACGGTATCTATTACATAGGGTTATTGCAACAGTAAATTTTTATCAAAGCGACCTCAGGATATTTTCTCTTATATTTTATTCTGTATGGTAAAATTTTGTTTTTCTACCCATCCTATAAAAATAAAACAAAACAAAATCTGTAACAGGTCGCTTTACTTTTTGACTATACACAATTTATCTAGAAATGATTCGAAAAACTTTACCTGGGGAAGTCCTCTGATGATGCATGGTCCCTCTAAATCATCATATCAATCAACAATAAGTCACTGCCCACTTTTTAGGTATTTACTTAATATGTACAATAATCAGTAACAAGAGTAATTAAACATGCAATTCACATTAAAAAAACGTGTAATAACCGGCAGAATTAATTCAAACTCTGATTCAAACTAAGCCAAATTCTCAAATAATGCAATTCTGCATTTGAGGCTCGCCTCAATACGGTCTTTTTACGCGCTACTACTCCATACATTTTATCTCTCTTCAACTAAAGGTTTTGCCTATGCTATTTCTTTTCATTCTATAGAGTTAAGATTCCAGTGAACGCTGTCGCTCCGTCAGTGCGATATCCCACAATACGCTAGACAAGGAAAGGCGAGAGGCAAACCTCTGCACATATACGTCTTAAAGAACAAATGAGATGGATATACATCGTCGAGTTTGTCGCATATGGGAAAGAAAGCGCGTTTAAAGGAATACCATCGACGTAATTTATTGTAGAATGACGGTTAAAAAATACAATTATTATTGATGCAAATAGGGAAAAAATATAAAATTGTGATTAAAGATGTATTGATTAATACGTGTAATTTTTCAAATGTATTGGTGAGGCACTGCCTCATCTGCCTCATAGGACAAGCCGCCCCTGACTCCCTCAATACAAAATGAAATGCAACGAAGTTACAATTAAGGAATAAATAATAAATCAAATATAATACAAATTTCACTGGTTTGAAATGACGCGTAGAAAATTGTGACGTCACCTATCAGCATTTGACTGTATAGTTGACAGAGGGCGCGAGCCTCTGAAGAATAATATTATGGCCTGTCTAGTTCTCTGCTACCGTATTTACACCATATATCTTAAAATCACGTTAGCTTTTTCTATTTTTATTAAGATCGTTAAAAATACGTTTTTATGTAGGATTATCCTTTATTACCCCAATATTAAATTTACTTTTATATTTTTTACTACTAGAAATTATAATTTAAATTTTTATAATTAACAGGTTACTGCCATTTTTATCGAAGCACTAAACACTACCAAAGTTGTTCGAGGCGTTCGAGGGTTCGAGGTTAGATTTGTATTTTGTGGATTTTGCGTTTGGCGTTAAATACTTTGAGTTTTCAATTTTGTTTTATTGTACCCTCTTTATTATTTTTGTAACTAAGGGTGTTAAAGTTTGTTTTGTGAAGGGCTGTCTAAATAACTCTAAAGGCTCTCAAGAAAAAAAATTTAAAAATTGTTTTAAAAGAAATAGTATGTTCTATTCGGAATAAAAATGTACTTTTTGTGCCTTCCTGTAACGTCGGAATAGCTTTACGATGGTCCTTCAAAGGTACAGCATCGTCAAAAAAAGTATAATTTTTACTCCTAATAAAACAATACACTATTGTTCGGAAATAGTCTTATTAAGTCGAGCATGAAATTAGTAGGTACTATCTAATGTCAAAGTGTAAAGTACTTACTGCAGATCAAGATGTCGCGTCAGTAGGAATTTGGAAACATACAACCGTTTTAAAAAAGAATATAAAACAACACATTTTCTGACAACGATTATAGATTCTCGGGAATGAAGATATTGTCTCTATATTAGAAGAACATAGTTCTGCACTAGACTTTGCGAATGATATGTGAACAAATGTGAATAAAAGAACAGCGAATTTGTGTCACTTATACATACATTTTAAAATAAATCCCTCCGTTTAGCGGTCTAATGGATTCACACGAAATTACTTCAAAAATCGGTCCAACATTTAACTTAACGAATAGATATTTTTATATAGTTTTATTTACAATTATTGTTCGATTTATTATCTATTATATCTGTTACAGAAATATTTTTTCTAGTGTTCTAGGACACATTTTTATAACTCTTACAGTTATTTTTTGATTTATTATAAAGTTTCAATAAAATTATTTTTTTTATTTAAATCACATGGTAAAATTAAAAAAATCTTTGATTTAAATCACGATTTACATCATGCCAACCCTGATAAGTTTCATTTTAATTTCGTTTTTTATGTAGCCTTTTTGTTAACAGTGTATATACGGCAAAAACATAGTATTATCACAGATTAGGTATACTATATGTATACAGATAAACAACTTATCCCTAATTTGTGGTACTAAAATTGTTTTTTATGACGATGTGCAAACGAGTAAAATTTCCTGTGCGCAAAAATAAACTCGCGTAAAATAACAATAAACAGCGTAATAGAGAGATATCGCTAAACCGAATAGCGTGCATGGACGTTAATAAGGCCAGGTGATATTTCCTTTTTCCGTGGTATTAACTCTCTTCATTTATAGTTATCGGATCGGAAAGAATTCTATTCGCGTCCCGTCCGCTATTTAAACTTAACCTAACTTTGAATTTAAAACTTTGAAATTGTTTTGTTTACTAGGTATTTTAAAACTAAAGGGCTAAAGTGCTTATTTCCAGTGCTTTATTGTTCAACGTCTGCCAGTGGGTTTAGGGCAACAAATTCGGTTAGAATCCATATTTTGGGCCATATTTATTTAATTACAACTAATCCCAGCTACTTAAATATCAAATTACCTAATAAAACTAAAGTAATAATTCAAAACAATTCAAACATAACCTAAAGTAAAAGATCTCGCCGCTCGCCGGCCGGCCCCGGTTGTCAAATGTACCCGCACATGCTCATTTAATCAATTTTTAAACGTTATTTAGAAATAGCGCTTGCTGTAATTGATCCGCAAATTACGTCAGGCGGTAACGTTATTAACGGGTGTTGCGTTAATAATGTGTGGACTCGCGCATATCTTAACCATGATAAGGTACGCGCGAATACTGCATGACGCTATTCGGTTTTCCGATATCTCTCTAATAACTGTGCCGGTCAGGCGCTGTGCACAATTTTAGAGGCCACAAGTGGGCGTGCTATGTGCGCAAACTAGTAACCTAACTAGTGCCCGATTCCGAAAATTGGAACCACGAAAAACTATAAAGAAAAAACAAAGTTTATAATCTGTATGATCTGTGGTATTAGAACAAAAAAATATGTAATTACCTTCAAGATCTAGGTCCAAATACTGCATTTTCCCGCTCATATAATGGTACACGTCCGCTTGGTTTTCGTATAAGTTCTCGCCGCTTAAACTAGGTGGCGTAGGACTGGGCGCAGCCCTAATTTTTCTCGTTCCATCGTCGTCAATCATTTGGAAAGATTTTCGCATACTGGCCTCCTGCGATTATATACAAAATACTAAGTTGCTTAGATCAAACAGGTAAAAAATACAAGATTACTTTAAATCTGTTGATACATTTTTGAGGCATGAAATATTCAATTAAAGAGAAAGTCACCATGATTAAATAGCTACCAACCTTTGAATAAGAAGACTAAGGAAGGAGCATAATGCTATTCATGAATTCATGCATGGTGGGCGGAAAAAGGAATCTAAGGTGGGGATTCTTGACAGTTCTGTTTGACGATTCATTTGACATATTTGAATTTGATTTGAAATTTTGTGGATTTGTCATTCTTTACAGAGCTTATTTTATGCTATTTATTATTTATTCTACTACTGATAGTTGTATAAAGGTAGTAAATCTAGATGGAAATTGTGGCAGAACTTAAATTAACAGTGACACTGTCGCGATTTATCGAAAAAGACTCTGAAATAGTTGGTTGTGTAGCGTGCGGTAGATCTCGGCATAAATCGAGTGAAATAATGGAACAACTTTTCGCTAGTAAGTGACTATATAATATACACATACGTGTAGTAAACCGATCATTTATGAAATTCACTTAAATTAACTAATTATATATTTTTTCTTGCATTTTTGCTTTTATTTACTACTTGTCAAAGATTAGATGTCAAAGAATTTAGATACGTCAATTTGACTTACCTGCTTTTCAGTAGCGTATCGGATGTTTATAGTTATAAATAATTATTATAACTTATCTATTTTTATTAAAATTTTATATTTTTATAACAATTTTAATAACTACCAACATTTATTCGCAACGTAAAATAAAAAAAATATTGAGTCTACCCCACGTCTGCCCTAGTTTTACATTTTTTAAATAAAATTAGAACGGCACTGATACCGGAATTTAAGTCGGCCATATTTGAGGCCCATCGCGGTGGACCTAAGATTTTTGATATGCTCCTTCCTTAGTCTTTTACTAAGACAAGTAACTTCCTATACTGTCCATAATAGTATATATTTATCAAACGTGCAGTAAATTCTAAACTATGGTAGGTAAGTGTTTGCAAATGCTATTTTCTGTCATATATTTCTGGTTATTTCCTTTTCCGATTATTTTGAACACCCTATATATGCTACCTCAAGTTTGAATATTTACACACTAGTACACTACCTACCTATTTTCTGAGAAAGCAAACCTTTTTATAAAAAGTAACTAACTGATGTTTTCATAAAAATAATAATACAAAAAATTCCATACTTATGTGGAGAGCTTTAGACTCCCTGTATATTAAACAATTAGTGAAATATTACGTAATCTAACCCGACATTTGTGTGAAAAATGTCATAAAACAGGTTTTAAAATACGCGCCAAATAAATCACTTCTAACTCCGCCATATTGGAAAAGGTTGAATGGCCTTGTGTGGAGGTGGTGGTGGGTCAGCATGGTGGCCCGGCCGTGTTGCCGCTTTTCAACATGCCAGGTGTGACGTATTACAAATAAAGTGCGGATTTTTATTCTGGGCTTTTTTGTTTTTATTTATTTTCTTAAGAACGACTTCAAATTTTTCGAAAGTGAGATAGCAGAAAATTCTAGAATTAATTGCTTTATTCAATTATGCTAATTCCAAAATATAGTGAAAGAACCCATTAATTAGTATGATACCACCGCATACTTACACCATAGGCGTAGTCAAAACATTTATCAAAAATCTAATTATCTCTTAAAGCGGCTATGTTAAGAAAAATATGTGCCACGCGGTGCCACGGCACTGTTTGATGGTCCTTGTATTCTTTAGTCAATGACTTTACCGTTGTACAGAGTGGTCGAAATTGGTCTGTTTTAAGAAGGTTTTAACAAAGAAAACCTATTTCCTGACTAGATAGAGCAAAACCGACATAGATGTCATGGGCTCGATTTCTGAAACACGTTTAATGGCCTAAACCACGTGTTGGTATTTTCACTGCCAACAGAGGTACGGGGTCTTTTTGAATTTTTTACCATTTTGAAAGTTGCAACTTTTTTATTTCGCGGAATAATAAAATTCTGTAAAAACGCCCTTAAGGCACTTTTTAAGCACAATCCAGTGGCGTATTCAGTGTTTTTCTGTACTTGCTCTTTTTGTCAGAAATGATAAAAAATATAATTTTTTAAATAGACATCATAGTTGGCTATGAACTTTAAAAAATGCCGGCGTTTAACCCTTTCCAACAATATTGTTACGTTTTTCGTCGGTTCAGTGTGGATAAAGAGTCACAATTTATTTAAACACTATTTATTTAACACTAATTAACAAAAACAATAACGATAAAAGACTTATAGAACTATTTACAAACGATTTATAACTAAGAATTTATTTTGAATTTTAGCGCGTCAACTGTATATTTATAACTGCCCCCTGTAGGCCACCGCCGCCGGCTTTTATACCGACAGGTAAAGAACTCTAGAATTGTCCATAGATCGTTAGGTGCGTAGAGAAGGTTTTCGAATGTTCTCGTATGTACTAGTCCATTCCAGTGGGACTCGATTCTTCTCGAACGAATGAATCATTGCGGTGTCTATGCGATGTTAAGGTCATCCGAGGGCGGGCCATATTGTGAGGTTAGGTCGAGTCCACACCGGCCCGCAACAATATAAAGTTATGGGTATCTATTTCTAAGAATGAGAGAAATATTAAGGTTTTTTTATCTTTATATCGAAATGGGAGATTAATTTTGTGTTGACCTACTTGCCTAATTATTTTATCACAATTTAATATTCTATATTATTATTTACCTACATAATTAAAGACTTTTGAAAAGGTAAATTAACATTCTATATTAGTATTAATAATTACAATTGAAATCGATACAATAAACAAAGAACAAAACTAAAAAAAAGTATTTTTAAGTAACGAATATAGTTTTTTAAAAAAATCATCAAATATGTTCAAACTGAGCACTTCCTTGTTGAATACACAATAAACATCTTTTGCGCACAGAGTTATAACGATTTATTAGGTGAGCTGGTATAATTAAAAAATTCAAAAAGACCCTGTATCTCAGTCGGCAGTGAAGATATCAACAGGCGGTTTACGCCATTAAACGTGTCTCAGAAAAGAGTCCATGACATCTATGTCGGTTTTGCTCTACATAGTCAGAAAATAGGTTTTCTCGGTTAAAACAGACCAATTTTTCGACCACCCCGTACAAATTACTTTTTTTAAGAAAATAACTTTACAAATAGCTTAAAAACGGGTTAACAGAACAGTTAAAAAATTGATAGGTAGCCTGATCTAACCTAGTACTTTAATCCACGGGATTTCTGAGCCAATGCATAACTCGGTATCTCTGTAGTTATGCTTTTAGAATTACAGTTACCTGTAAGGGTGTTGGAGGTTTCAGTTTCCTGTCCACGGTAGGTCCTGCAGTCTTAGGCGATGGCGGTTCGGTATTAGAACAACTGGAATGGGCATCCGATAATTTTCTTCTCGGTTTCAACTCCCTAAAGAAAAAATTCTTTTAAATTGTTTCTTTTATATTTTCTTATGTAAGTATACCTATTAACAACAGGAGGAGGCATTAATTGAGCCTCAACCAATAAAGGACTCGGCAGATTTGAATAGGCTGGTGTGGAAGAACAATGCGAATGTGCTGGAGAAGAGGGTTCCACATTTTGTGTCGCTTCGAGGTCGTACCTAAATACCTAGCGAGAAAAAAAACAATGACTATCACAGTGGGAGTTGCCTGTCATTTAAATTCGAAAGTAAATCGTTTTTTCTAACATTTTTAAGATATTTTTTTGTCAGAATTAAAGGTTCTATAATACAGAATATCCCATTTTTGTGTGATCGAGTCGAGATATAAAGATGCAGTTTTCACTGTGATCAAGATGTGTTTCATTCACTGTGCTATTTTACGAAACTAAAGATTCTATACACAGATTAACCCTAGCCTTCCTAGTTTCTGAAATACAGGGCAAATTTAAAAATATTACACTTTCCATCGTATCTCGGTTATCTTATAACTTATCCAAAACGCGTAAACTGAGTCCCATAGAGTTTTTCGGCTAGAATTCAGTAGTGTAACTAGATTTTCGCTAGGAGGTGACATTCTTGAAATGTGACCCAAACTTATGTTTTTTTTTTAATAGGATACTCTCCCAACTATCAATTTATGTATTAAAAATGTCCTAAGAACGTTTACAGAACTATGTTTATAAAATAACAGTATTGCGATAAACATTTCAACAACGTTTATACAGTGCTTATAAACCCAAAAAGGGCGCACTTTTGTGCAGCAATTTAGTTCTTTAATTTGTTTTATTATAGTTTCCATAGCTTTTACCGGACAAATACATAAACATTTACAAAATTATTATAAAATATTATTTGGAACAATTATAAAACACTTTTATTGAAAACAGTTACAGAGTTAAATATTTTATCAAAATTATGACAATTATACAACAACTATCGAGCTAGAATAAAACACTTTTATAAAAGTTGTTTTGTTATACCAGCGGTTCCGATTTTGCGTTCCGATCATCGTTCAGAGAACAAAAAAGCTAAATATCGCGTCTCCTGTCACAATTTTAAACACATAATATACAGGGTTGTTCACCATATACGACACGGAGTATTGTAGCTAAACGATGAGATTTTTACAAATTGTAAGTTTGGGGTTCGTTGAAGGACTATTAGAGCTACAATTTAAAAATACTTTTACAAGATACAGAGTGTCCCAAATAAATAAAAAAATCAAAATTGTATTTTTTTAAATGGAACACCCTGTATATTATTACATTTTTAGTTTCTACGATTAAAATAAAGGTAAATTTGATTAAGGTTTATTATACTTAAACCTTACCGTTTTTGAAATATTTTCAATTTTGTGAAATTGCAGTAAAAATTTTAAAGCTTCATTTCTCCAAGGGTATCAATGTTTTTAATACTAAATATTTAATGAAGTTTATTTATTGATCAGTTATTGTGTTGCAATAATAAAAATAATACTACCTTATACAGAGTGTCTAAAAATTTATTTTAAATAATTATTAGCTTGTTGTCGTTCATTATTTATCAATAATCATAACGTCAGTTATTATTTTATATAATATCGCGTTCTTGTTGAATCTTTGTGAGTAATTCTCGTTTTTTGACTATTTTCAGTCTTTTTTTAAAAATTGTACTTTTAAGAACTAAATTTTCGAGTTTTTGTATTACATTTCTTGGAATTGTGCGTTGAAAATATGCCAAAGCATTTAATCAGTGGAAGCAGAGAGCTTGTAGCTTTCCTGATAAACTATTTTGAATGAGAACGTGATAATAAAGGTCCTTTATTACTCTTGACTGCACTCAGAGAATTAAGTTTGATTGGTAAGGACATTATACCACTTTCAAAGCTATTTCTACGTTAGTTTTTATTAAATTCTGTGATTATTAGTTTGTGCATTAATGGTACCCTCTTACTTTCTATTGGCTCTTGTAGTGTTGTAAGATGTACATCGATAACTAAATAAATATCCCATAATAACGCTTAGAATAATTTTCGTAATGAAATAGTTTTTGCCAATATGTAATAAGTAAAACCAAGCTATAAAACAAATAACTTAAACTTAAATATTTATTATTACATTAAAAATAAAACCTAAAAATTATATAATAAATAACGTATGATCGAAAAAAAAACGGCGTACAGTTGGCTAACATTTCCCATATAAATTTACATATAAAATGACAGCGATTTTCATTTCATAGCCATCGCTGACGCCGTTTTTTTAGATCATACGGTATAATATAAATCCATCATAATCTGGCAGCGCTGTCGCCATCGCTTGTCGGCAGGGTTCGGAAGTGGTTAATTAAGACGTAATTTACCTGATTAACTACGTGTAGTTTTTCTTCAAAAACTACGTCTTTTCGTAGTATTTTTTATTTAACGTTCATTAACTACATGAAAACTACTTAACAAACTATGTATTGATATTATGAATAATTTTCCTTTGTATGAGGTGTAATAGAGATAATATGATGTAAATATTATATTTACAGCCATATTTCTTGTAGCATTTTTTATTCCCTTTAATAAAATTGAATTTAAAAATCTATTTTTATTTAAATTTCTTGGTATTGGCGCCATCTATTTGCTAGATGCCAAAGATGCCAAACTCCATTTGTTACAGCTCACTTGTTTCGATATTTAATTTTTATTAGCGCATCTATTCGCTAGATGTCAAACTTCATTTATTACAGTTCATTTGTCTTGTTTATTAGCGCCATCTATTCGCTATATGCCAAACTTCTTTAATTGCATTTCACTTGTCTGTGGTGAAAAGGGTTTTTTGTTTTCGTTTCTGAAACTGAGAAGGTCTTTTTTTCTGGGAATTTGGATCTGAAGGAGACGCGTGTTTCGGCGTCCGACAAATTTTCCAGTGAAAAGCACTCTGCATCCACTTTTCGATTTCGATTGCATGGGTATCCGATTTGGAGATTTGAAAACCTTGTAAAGTATGCAATCCAGAGTATAGATCGTATTTGTTTGCTTTCTTTATGGAATGATCACCGTAAGTTTATCCGCCATTTTATATAGCCCTATCTAACTAAATTCTATTTCAGTTATTTCCGTTTTTTATTTCGTTTATTTGAGTATTTAATTACTGGTTTGGATCGGCATATGGTTTGAATATATTTATGTAAAGCTGATTTTCAGACCGTAAGTTGTTTTTTTTTATTGAGTATCTGTCCTGAGAACTATTTTTTATTTATAGAGTAACTACCACATGGTACTCAGTAACTACCACATGGTACTCAGTAACTACCACATGGTACTCAGTAATTACCACCTGACCTTAAGACAGTGTTCCTGACATTACAATCGTTCTTTTGGCTGATATCGAAGACTTATCCTGCCATAGTCATCTGCATCCACTTCTGTTAGTCTGGAGAATACCTAACTACCTGTTTACATCATAAGAAACTATATACAGATAAGTCTCTCTCTCTCTCTCTCTTAAGTTTGATACACAAGGTACGCTTTTATTTTATAATTTTTGAGACAACAGATTTAATAACCTGGTAAATTATCACTATTTATCCCACATATTGTAGTCAAAATTATTTTTTATTTAACGTTATAAGTTATAATTTGATTCGTACAGTACGCTCTTACTTAGCTATGATATTTTATATGAAAATTATTAACATGTATTCATTTTAAAGGTTTTTGTACACGACATGTTTCGAAACATCATCGTATTGAGACATACATAAATTTCACCTGTTTTTATTAAGTAGCTTACTTAGTTCAAAGAATACAGTTACTAAATTCAAATCTATTTAAAATAACTTGCGGTTTTATTGGGATCACTGTGACTAATTGATGATACTTGTCTTCGTTTTCAATAAATGTTTAATGTAGGTTAGTTTTAAAACATATATAATGTTTAATTATAGGTATAGTTAGTTATTTCTGACTTTTATTCCTGATAAACATAATAGACCCTTAATGTTGTTGATTACTTTATTTTAGCTATGTTGTGATATCGTATTTTTCTTTTTGGTTTCTTACTTTACCACTCTCATAAACAAAGTAAGTGGCGCCCTTTTCACTGTCTTTGACCATACCTATTTGAATTCTTAACAGCAATATTAAAATCTCTGCAACCTATATATTATCATTTTTTTTATTTTTTAACAACATTAGAAAGTCACTGTGAGTCAGAAGCCTTACCTACGAACCCAGCTTTCCTCTAACCCTGAGCAACGGATTCTTTTTTCATTCTATTTGGGTAACGACAGAAAAGTCGTCACATTCTTCTGTTTTCTTAAATACATTATGTGTTTTTAAAGCTTCAACTTATTATAACCTCACCTCAAACCTTTGATATTTGAAAGTTACATACATAGCTAACATAAACTACACCCTCTACATAAACTACATGTAATGTAGTTTATGTAGTTTTTAAAAGTAACATGTAGTTTTCCGAACCCTGCTTGTCGGTCAAAGTTGATCACGTGCATCGGAAATTATTTTGTGATTACCGGAAGTATTAATATTAGAAGTAAAAATGAAGCAACTTACAGAAGTGACAGAACTTGTGCTGGGTTTAGGTGACATATCATATTTAAATACGGTGCCTTCGGGACAAGCTACGGGAGCGGCGTTATTATAACAGTGCTTTCTTGGAAGGGTGCTCTTAAAATGTTCCGCTTCCACGTTGTGAGATCGAGGAAAATCGTACATGTCGTCGGTTAAATTCTAAAAGAAATTGGTTTTAGTAAAGGCCCCCATACACTTCGATTATTTTTCTCGGTTTTAACCACACAGTTAAAACGACGCGGGTAGAAAGCACGGGCACGCAACCTCCACACGCTGTCACACGCTGCGACGTAGTTGAGAACGATGGGTTCGAGTAAGAACTTACTATAGTCTGCGAAACGAATAACTTTGAAATTGACAGTTCCCGCGATCTTTTCTAGTGTTAATTATATTAGGTTAGCAACTTGCGGCCATGCCGACGCAATTCCGTCTCTAATAGAGCAGCCCATATAAAATGACAGCGATCTTTATTTCATAGCCATCGCTGACGCCTTTTTTCTATGATATTGTATTATTTGCAAATATAATTTTTCGAACATTGATACTTGCAAAATATACGTATAAATTTTGTGAATGCAAATAATAATATATCGCTATTAGATATCTACTAATCTTGAGTTGAATGTTTTTTGTTAAATTAGATCGATTTTCAAACCCCAAAATTTAAAATATATTTTACATTTTACCCATTATCTTATGTACCTATTCATTATTTGTATATTGTAAAACATTTGCTGCATTTATAGGGTTTATAGTTTTATTTGCCAAAGTATTTATTACTATACATAGGTATATATATATATATATATTGTATTTATTAACAGTATATTATGTATATTTCATGTAAACTATATCATTTATAAAATACAAACCAAAAATACGAGGAATAATTATTTTTTCCATGTATTCAACAACATATTTATTAATCCGTAGTATCTAACTAGCGTGGCGTCATAAATCTCGCTCCATGGCTGTTCTATTAGAGACGGCATTGGTCTGATATTTAGAAATGTCAAAAGCTGATGACATTTTACTTTTGACAATTATGAGATTTCATGTTGATTTTTGCAAGAAGAGGAAGAACTGTGACTTGTTTTATTATTTTCCTTTTCTATTTCACGAAAGTAAAAAGAGTTACCTATCTGATTCGTTCGGGCACTCAATTTAAAGAATATCAGTAACTTTTTTGACAGAGGGATTTTATATTTGCCAAAATTCAAAGTTATTCATTTTATAGACTATAGCAGTAATTGTGGTAAAATAGAAAATCCAGATAAGGAACAGAAGAAAATGGTGCAATGCGAAAGAAATCCGAAAAAACATACAGGGTGGCCCGAATTGTAATCGGGAAACTTCGGTACCAAATTCTGCAAATAAAAATGAGTAAAAAAGTTCGAATAAAATCATGCCCTAAAATGTTTCGTTTTGCAGATACAGATTCGATCTGAGTAATAGTGACCCCTGCTAGTAGGGGGCGCCACCTGCATATTTTTTCACTGTTTTGAAGAGTAGATAATAACTTTTTGTACATACCTGTATTACACTACTGGGTAAAAAAATATACAATTCTGCGGTATTTTACATAAAAAAGGTCTTTTAATATCCTGTAACGTCGCGCGTCGTGTCCATCTCCCATTTGCTTCATGTTTTCTGTTGAGAGGGTAGCTATATTTTTTGTCAATCATTGAACCCATCACTAATTTTTTCATTCAGTCGTTTTATACATTTAATACAGGTAAGGACGAAAAGTTATTACGCTGCAAAACAGTTAAAAGACATGTAGTTGGCGACCCCTACATGAAGGAGTCACATTGAAATCGAAATCAAATTTTTCATGCCAAAAAGCACCCAGACTACAGTTCAGAATTGTTTGGTTTGGTTAGAAAAAACGAAATAAAAATGAAAGTTCTAAATCTCCGAAAAGAAGCATTTAAAATGTAAATTTATACGAACTTTTTTACTTACTTTTAACCACCCTGTATAATGAAATGTACGCGCAGTGCCAGAGGCTTGAATAAAACTGCGCGGTTATCATCGGGTAGGAAGGAACGGGTCGAGTCGTACGATTAAAATATCTGACGAAAGCAGAACAGTTATTGAAAGTACAAGTAAAACAACAAACTTACTCGTTCAGTTAAAACCGTGCAAAATAACCGCAGTCTAAGGGGGCCTCAAAAGTGGGTGTAGAGTGATAAAAATACTATTCTTTTTCATGTTTTATAATATCTAAATACATGCTACAACGAAAATTTTCAACAATTATTCCTATCCTTTCAATAAGAAGACTAAGGAAGGAGCATAATGCTATCCATGTATTCATGCATGGTGGGCGGAAAAAGGACTCTAGGGTGGGGATCGTTGACAGTTCTGTTTGACGATTCATTTGACACATTTCAATTTGATTTGAAATTTTGTGGATTTGCCAGTCTTTACGGAGCTTATTTTATGTTATTTATTATTTATTCTACTACTGATAGTTGTATAAAGGTAGTAAATCTAGATGGAAATTGTGGCAGAACTTAAATTAACAGTGACACTATCGCGATTTATCGAAAAAGACTCTAAAATAGTTGGCTGTGTAGCGTGCGGTAGATCTCGGCAAAAATCGAGTAAAATAATGAAAGAACTTTTCGCTAGTAAGTGACTATATAATATACATACGTGTAGTAAACCGATCATTTATGAAATTCACTTAAATTAACTAATTATATATTTTTTCTTGCATTTTTGCTTTTATTTACTACTTGTCAAAGATTAGATGTCAAAGAATTTAGATATCAATTTGTCAATTTGACTTACCTGCTTCAGTAGCGTATCGGATGTTTATGGTTATAAATAACTATTATAACTTATCTATTTTTATTAGAATTTTATATTTTTATAACAATTTTAATCACTACCAACATTTATTCACAACGTAAAATAAAATAAAAATATTGAGTCTACCCTACATCACAGTTTTACATTTTTTAAATAAAATTAGAACGGCACTGATAAACCGGAATTTAAGTCGGCCATATTTGGGGCCCATCGCGGTGGACCTAAGATTTTTGATATGCTCCCTCCTTAGTCTTCTTATTCAAAGGGTAGGTTCTAATGCAGCGACCAGAATCTCCTTAATTTGTATGATCAGGCCAACCCTGGGCCAACTTGCCATAGAAAAATGAGGTTAATAAAATTTAACGTCAGAGGTGAAAAAAAAATTCTGTCAAAATAAACTCGTAGTAAAAAAATAAAAACAAATACTAAAAAGTTCAGTTCAATTTACTAAACAAATCACGATTGAGCTCACTAAGAGATAACTTTTTATTCAATTTAAGCCATCCTGTATATCTCTTACCGTTTCTGAGATCTGAATGCTGAATTTGAAACTGTATAGTAATATCACAGATTAGGTATACTATATGTATACAGATAAAAATCTTATCCCTAATTCGTGGTACGAAAATTGTTTTTTATGATGATGTGCAAACGAGTAAAATTTCCTGTGCGCAAAAATAAACTCGCGTAAAATAACAATAAACAGCGTAATAGAGAGATATCGCTAAACCGAATAGCGTGCATGGACCTTAATAAGGCCAGGTGTTATTTCCTTTACGTGAGGTGGTATTAACTCTCTTCATTTATAGTTATCGGACCGCTATTTAAACTTAACCTAACTTTGAATTTAAAACTTTGAAATTGTTTTGTTTACTAGGTATTTTAAAATTAAACGGCTAAAGTGCTTATTTCCAGTGCTTTATTGTTCAACGTCTGCCAGTGGGTTTAGGACAACAAGCAACAAATTCTCTTAGAAGGGCTAAATCGTCATCTGCTATAAACCTAAGCCTCTTTATAGGTTCTTTAATATTGGAAGAGGTGGAATCCATATTTTGGGCCATATTTATTTAATTAAAACTAATCCCAGCTACTTAAATATCAAATTACCTAATAAAACTAAAGTAATAATTCAAAACAATTCAAACATAACCTAAAATAAAAGATCTCGCCGGCCGGCCCCGGTTATCAAATACCCGTACGTGTCCATTTAAGCAATTTTTAAACGTTATTTAGAAATAGCGCTTGGTGTAATTGATCCGCAAATTACGTCAGGCGGTAACGTTATTAGCGGGTGTTGCGTTAAAAATTGACTCGCGCATATCGTAACCATGATAAGGTACGCGTAAATACTGCATGACGCTATTCGGTTTTTCGATATCTCTCTAATAACTGTACCGGTCAGGCGCTGTGCACAATTTTAGAGACTATAAGTGAGCGTGTTATGTGCGCAAACTAGTAACCTAACTTGAACCCGATTCCGAAAATTGGAACCACGGAAAACAATAAAGAAAAAACAAAGTTTATAATCTGTATAATCTGTGGTAATATAACAATATTCTACACTTACTTGTCCACTAAGATTAGGTTTATCATCGGTCTCCTTGCTAAAATTCCGTAAAATTCATTAATGGGCAAATTAAATTATCGATAATGTATCGAAGAGATCTTACTTAAGTTTTGTAGGAGTCGACGTTAAATTTAAGTAACATGGAGGCGGAGTTATGTGGGCCGGTTTAGGCGGTCTAGGAGGCGGTACAACTGCTCTATTATTATCAAGTACTTTCGTAAATTTCTGTGTTGGAGTCGGTTCAAAGTCCACAGAGCTATCCGATGGTCGAGATTTTCTTAATGTATCTATGAAAAAAATTCTTCTAAGATAAAACAAATACAGGGTGTTTCAAAAAATATATGCCATCTCTTGTGGAGAGATTCCTCACGTAAAAATAAGATTTATTGTCGTCTAAAAAAAACATGTGCGCCATTGACTTCTTTTCTTTTTTGTTAGTAAAATTGCGTAGACCGTTTAATACCGATTTAAACTTGTATCTTGATATTTTATCGATTTCGGTCTCCTTGTCTCTTCGGTAATTTGCCTTAATCCAATTCTCTACGACGTCAAGAAGAACAAGATCGACTACAAAAAATGCTTATGGAAAATCAAGAAATTAGACAAGAACGGTTGGAGAAAATTGTAGAAAATCTAGAAGTGCGTCGCCAGAAAGATAAACAAGAAGAACAGGACCGGCTTGAAAAAATATTAGGAAATCTGGAAATTCGTTTGGAGGGGGGAGCGACGTCATAGAGAAAAACAAGAAGAACAGGACCGGCTTGAGAAAATTTTCGAAGATTTAAAAATTCAGCGACGACAGGACAAACAAGAGCGGGACCGTATTCAAAAATTATCGAAAATTCGGAACGAAGATAGGAGACCCACTTCCAAGATGTTGTAGAAGATCTGGAGGAGCGCCTTCAGCAGAAAATGGACAAATTAGAGACGGACCTACAGAAGACCAAGGCACAAGTAAGGGCACTTGGCGTTCCTGGAACTGCGAACCTCAAAGCCCCGACCTACGATGGACAGACCACCTGGACGATGTACCACCGCCAGTTTGAAGCAGGCGCCGCTGCCACGGATGGACCGACCAGGAGAAAGCAGCGGCACTTGTCATCGCGCTGCGTGGCCCTGCCCTGGAACTGCTGCAAACTATTCCTGCAGCCCAACAGCGGGAGTACGAAACCTTGCAGGAATTTGAAGCAGACTTACGTCGGCTGGTACACCTGGCATATCCAGAAGCACCGGAAGGATTTAGGGAGGAACTCGCTGCTCGGTGCTTTATCAGCGGACTGAAGGACCACGAGTTACAGAGGGCACTGCAAATATCTCGATTTTCGACCAGCAGCGAAGTACTCGTCACGGCGCTAGAAATTGAAGCTCCTTTTAGCGCCATCCCTAGACCGAAGATAGGCTCGGTAACGGTTGAGGAACAGCCAAAAAGTTCTCACATACGTTTGGAGATGTTTAATAAACTATGTGAGTTACTAGTGAACAAGAGAGTCAACAACACCCAGACAGAGAATCAGAGAAGATCCCAGGATATTAGGTGCTATAGATGTGGCAGGAATGGCCATATCCAACGGGATTGTCGCATCCAAATGCCATTCCGTTCGTCATCAAGAGAACATCGGCACATCGGAAGATCCCAGGACTATCGATCCCAGTTGCTATAGATGTGGCAGGAATGGCCACATCAAACGGGATTGCCGCGTCCAAATGCGATTCCGTTTACCATCCAGAGAACATAGGCACCAGGAAATCAATACTAATGAGCGAGTATATTGGCTGAAGAAAACAGAGCCCCTAGGATGTTTTCCATTAGGAGTCTAGGGCAAACCGCTCACAGTTTGGTGATCAACGGGAAGGTCAATGGTAGAGGAATTCGAATGACTGTGGATACAGGCGCTATACTATCGTTGGTGCGGACTAACTCAGTGCAAGGATTGAAGATGATGCCTCTTAGAAGAAGAGTGTATTTACGTACAGTTATGGGGGAAATGGCCGTTGTACGGGGAGAGGCTTTCATGGAACTGGAGTTAGGGAATTTGAAGTTTCGGCATAGCGTTTTAGTGGCAGACATTGAAGATGATTTTATCATGGGTATGGATGTGATCAGTCAAGATGGTTTTTCGTTCGATCACCATAGAAACATCCTCAAAATCGTAAATGAGGAATTTGCTGTATCTAAAGAGAAGAGACCAGGAAATATGAAAGCAAGATCATCGGAAATTGTGATGATACCTGGTGATACCAAGAAGGCTGTGTTCGGGAAAATGGAGAAAACCTCTGGATGCCGTGTAGGACGGGTACAAATTATCGACGACGAGCTACCTTGGACAAGAAAATGAAACATCGCGAAAGCACTATCAGAGTAAGGAATTTTAAACTGAGAACTGACGAACAATGGAAGACGATACAATTGAGGAAACATCAAATGGAAGATCCAGACATCAGAGCAATACTACGGCTCAAGGAGGGTAAGGGCGAGAGACCATCGTAGCAGGATATTGCAGACAGAGGGTTGGTTTTCAAAGCTCTCTGGGCTCAGTGGAATTCACTGGTTATTGAGAATAGATTGTTAAAGCGCACGTGGAAAAGTGCGGATGGCAGGACAGTAACAACTCAGTTACTGGTACCAAGGAAGAAAGTTACCCAGGTATTGGAAGAAATTCACGGTGGTAAAACTGGAGCCCATCCTGGAGTAAACAAGACCTTGAGCAAGCTGAGAAACCGTTTTTACTGGGTGGATTATTGCGAAGATGTTAAGAAATGGAGTCAACGTTGTAAGATTTGCGCAGCTAGACAAGGACCAAGTACTCGATCTGAAGGAAAAATGGAACCAGATAACGTTGGACTGTCGTTCGAAAGAATCGTTAGGAAGGAAAGATTACCGGACGTTCATAAGGCCGTTAGAAGTAAGATTGCGCTAGCCAGTGACCAGATGAAAGCTCGTTACGACCTTAGAGCTAACTCTACGGGATTTCAAGAGGACGATATGGTATGGTTATATAACCCACAGCGCAAGAAAGGAAGGTCCCCAAAGTTAACTCCAGCATGAGAAGGTCCTTATACAGTAATCAAGATGATAAATGATGTTGTGTACCGGATTCAACGCAGCCCTAGAAGTAAGATGAAAGTAGTTCATCTGGTAAGTAAGATGAAAGTAGTTCATCGATTGAAGAGATACCAGACAGGAAACCTTGATCGGGACGATCAAATTTGAGAAGGGGGCAATGTCAAGGTGTATGTGGCGCCATCTGTCGGAGAAGCGAGCAACTAAAACCGCAACGTGTCAAGAAATCTGAAGACATTTTTTTGTTGCAGCGCCATCTCTTAATCAAGTCGACAAGTAAGCGAAGCAGGCAATAGAATGTACTAGTAGATGGCGGAACCTTCCCGATAATTTTAGAACGTTCGAGAAACACTCAGCACAGCTATATAAAAGGAGCGCGTACGACAGTTGGACAGTTTTGAAGTTTGAATATACCGCGTTTGGAAATTGGGAATTAATTGGCGAAGGTGCCAGAGTTAGAGTAATAGTAGTTGCATAAATTGTGTTTTATAATTAGTATAAAATTGTGTGTACAGAGTGAGAAAGAAATAAATTCGTTAAGTATTTTATCGTGAGTTTAAATTATTGGACCCACGGAATCCGTAACAATATTTTAACGTGTTGAATCTCCCCAAGAACGGTAAACTAATAGGATTGCTCATCCTCATAAGACGTACGTTCGCCTCTTCCCGCGCTTCAGCTGACAGTTGTGGCGTCATTGTAGTGCTTGTCATGATAGTGTGTATTTTTAGTTGCCTATGGGTTAATTATTTTGTCAATTTTAAATGTGAAAAAGGTGTCTTTAAAGTTTTTAGAGCTATAGAGTGTATAAATACGTTCATTTTGTGTTGTGGATTGTGACAAAGTGCTTACTAAGTGCCTACGATATTGTTTATTAATTATTTTAAAGCAAAATATAGAAGTACTCTAAAAAGAATGCTTGCAAAAGGTGATGTTGGAAACTGCTGTTCTTAAAAATGCATTATCCGAGTATTTAATACGATTTATACAGTTAATTTTCTATACTGCATACATATAAGGTGTTTAAATAAATAAACTAAATAATGAACGTTTTGCATTCGGCAACTAATAATGCACGTGTGTGTATTATTGGTTGCCGGATAAGGACTAATAACCATGACAAGGACTACAATGACGTCACAAAGCGAGTAGTTTTCGCATGCACCTGGCTGAATGAGCAGTCCTATTAGGTTAACTGTTCTTGGAATCTCCCCACGAGAGATAAGACACGTTTGTTGAAATACCTGTAAAAATACACTATAATACCTTTTTCGTTTCCCGGTGGAACCCATTCTTCTTCGTTAAAAACACTATCCGAATCGGTGGGACTTCTTAACGGCGAATGATTGAGCTGTTCGTCCGAGTGTTTGTTTTTGGGGGGCACCAACTGCCTGGGGCAATCGTAGAACCTCGGATCGGGAATATCGTTAACGTAGTTCCTATCTGGTTCGTTCGAGTAATTGATATAATTATTAGGACTGTGAAATTCGTATGTGTCGTTCACGCGTGACGACAACCGGTTACTATTTCTACAGTTGTATTCCAAGAGAGTTCGAAAGTCTTTTGGATCGAAAATCGGTGACTTTCCAGTAATACATTCCGATATTGGAATGTAAGGACTAGTGGTTGGTGATGTGGGTGGGGTATTTTCGAACTCGTGTTGCGCGAGAGAAGAATCCACGTTCTCCTCGGTAATTTCGATGTCCGGAGTGTTTATGGGCACAGATACTGAAACAAAATCTCGTAATATTACAAGAAATACTTAAAATTGAGAAAAAGATTGAGAAATTGAGAAAGTTTCCGGAGAACTACAATATCTAGCACCCTTGTTTATATATCCTTTAAGTTGCTTAACCGGCTAGACAAAATGTGCTGCCAACTGGAGGACAAATCGTGAACCTTTCGGGGCGGAGTCAAAAATATCGATTATTTTCCTTAGAGTAATGTAATAATATAGCCCTGGTTTCTGCATCTTTAATAGTGATCAGTTGATTAACAAATTTAAACGAAACTTTTATTTTATTGTAGATTGTGGATTATTTTTGCCTGTTAATTTTAAAAATTCTAAACCGTATTAACAAAGAAATTATTATTTCGATATGTTGGTACATTTTTTTGTTATTTATGATAATGCTAATTACTGTTAATTAATATTCAGAAAAAGTTACATACCTACTTTAATTTGATTTAATGCAGGTTTATAAAAGAATCAATTCATTCTTAGATTATTTTATTCTAAATTGAGTGTGTTACGAATTTTACGATATTTTTTTTTGAAAACATAAAACTTTTTACATTCTTCATTAAATGTTCAGAAAATTGAACTTTTCAAGACATGTTAGAAAAGTTAAATTTAGATAGTCGCGCATCAATAGGGTGGTTCCAACATGACTTTCATTATGACACCTCCATAATGAAAGAAATGTTAAAAATTATTTATATCACAATTATGCAAACTCAGGAATCGGAAGAGGTGAACCAATTGCATGGGCACCCTCGAAGAGGCGGTACGGGAGAACATTTTCTAAAATAACTTAAGTGTATGGGGTAGTGATATTATGAAGTTTTAGTTTGAGTAATGTAAATCGTAAAGAACCGTTTAATAATATATTCTATGTTTTTGTTATAAATCATAACAAGAGTAAGAATACCATGCTAACTACAGTACGTCTGTTCGTTCTGTAGCTACGGGGTATCCGTGAGAAGGGAAACGATATTCTCTGGATGTTTTTCGTAAAAAAATAGACGACGCGTCCATCAATAAAAATTCAACAAATTTGCAAGTAGCCAATAAAATGAGTGGGCGGAGCGATTTGCGGTGACGTACTCGTTAAGTCGACGTATAAAATAAATTGCTGTTTATTTAAATATTTTTTGTCCGCATTCCTTTCATAGACACAGATCCAGCAGACGTACTGTAAGTGAAATTAGCCAAGAAAGAAAAGAATTGGCTATAACTGTAACTCTGTATGTAACTGGAATTTTTCGAAAAAAAAACGTATATGCCTATATCGCCGAAAAGCTTAAAAATGGCGATTTTTATGAAGTCATGGCCAACTATGGTAAAAAATTACAGGTTTTAGAAAAAATCAGAAAACACAAACTCATTAGGTATGTGATTATCTACAACTTTTTGTCTAAAATAGATTAAAATGGAATTAGGGCCAATTATTTCGTATATTTTTCATTTTATTGATTTTATGGAAAGCACTGTTCATTAAAATGTTGTATCCTATGTTATAGGGCTTGTTTCTCTCTACAATTTTCTGTCTCACAATATACCGTTTGTGTCGGGGAAGGGATCATAGTTTCATAGTTGTCGATTTTCGACAGAAATCAGTGCATGTATATTATTTCGTATATTTTTCATTTTACTGATTTTATGGAAAGCACTGTTCATTAAAATGTTCTATCCTATGTTATAGGGCTTATTTCTCTCTACAATTTTCTGTCTCACAATGTACCGTTTGTGTCCGGGAAGGGTTCATAGTTTCATAGTTGTCGATTTTCGAAAGAAATCAGTACATGCATATTATTTCCGATTTTTAGTTTATTGTTTTTATGTATTTCATATAAAATGGGTCAGTTTTTTTTAGGGTACTATTTTTGTGGTTTTGTTTGTTTTCTTTATTTAATAATACTTTAATTAGAATAGTTTTTTTACATTTCCAATTACATATTGCTCGTTTGTTGCAGAATATAAATTCTTTAAATTTTTGAGATTAAGATTAAAATAGATAATTGATTTAAATCCTTGTTTATATGTTCTTAAAGTTGGTCAACCGACTAGACAAAATGTGCTGCTAACTGGAGGACAAATCGTGAACCTTTCGGGGCGGAGTCAAAAATATCGATTATTTTCGTTATTTTCCTCAGAGTAATGTAATAATATAGCCCGGGTATCTGCGAACTTTAATAGTGATCAGCTGATTAAGAAATTTAAACGAAACTGTTATTTTACTGTAAACTGTGGATTATTTTTGCCTGTTATTTTAAGAATTCTAAACCGTATTAACAAAGAAATTATTATTTCGATATGTTGGTACATTATTTATAATTTATGATAATTTTATGCTAATTGGCTGTTAATTAATATTTAAAAAAAAGTTACATACCTATTTTAAGTTGATTTAATGCAGGTTTATAAAAGAATCATTTCATTCTTAGATTATTTTATTCTAAATTGAGTACTGTACGAATTTTACGATATTTTTTTTTGAAAACATAAAACTTTTTACATTTTTGATGCTAACTAATTGGCATGGTATTATTGTTATGGAAATTAGCCAAGAAAGAAAAGAATTGGCTATAACTTGTAATTTTTCGAAAAAAAGATATTATACCTATCGCTGAAAAGCTTAAAAAATGGCGCTTTTTATGAAGCCATGGCCAACTATGGTTTACTAAAAAAAACATATGTTTGTGTCATATGTCAAAAATGACAGACTTTAGAAAAAAAAAACAGAAAACACAAACTCATTAGGTATGTGATTATCTACAACTTTTATCTGAAAACTTTTTGTCTAAAATACCGTATGATCGAATAAAAACGGCGTCAGCGATGGCTATGAAATGACGATCAATGATATTTCCCATATAATTTTACATATAAAATGACAGCGATCTTCACTTCATAGCCATCGTTGACGCCGTTTTTAATCGATCATACGGTAGATTATAATGGAATTATTAGAGACAAGTTTTAAAATAGCCAAAATTCGTTTTTTTCGAAATATCTAATAAGCCTTGAACTTCTCAGAAAAATCTGAAAGGCGCATATTTATGACCCCACAAAACTGCAATTCTTTCCCCATTAACCGACTCTCTATCTCCAGTAGTTTCTGAGATGCCCATAGAGAACATCGTACGAAACTCACCCTGTATAGTATTTTGAAACTAACTATTGTTTTTATTTGACTAGTTTAATTTGATTAATAAGGCTAGATTAATTTAATTTCAAATAAATTTGATCAGATTTTTTTTTCGTATATTCTGCTACCAGAAAACCAAGATTATATGATAACGCACTTTTCAACGAAGTTGAAGGAAGATATAGTATATCTATCACAATACTTAATAGAACTACTACAATTATTACAAGAAAAACAAAAAGAAGAAATACCCAAATACCCCTTCACCTACTACTCAACTACAAAATAAACGAATATAATCTCTTAAAAACACTACACAACTACTTATTCTTGTATTCTACACTGAACAAATTATCAAACTTACTAATTTATCAAACAAAAAGAAAAAATAACTAATGGTAGACTACACTAACATGCTATGGATACCGGGACATGTCGGCCTAGAGGGAAATGAACGTGCTGATTCCCTCGCCAAAATTGGTGCAGGCTCGCCATTCGTGGGCCCAGAACCGACACTTAGCGTTCCCAAAAATCTCGCAAGAGACAGGCTCTGTGAATGGGTTAGGGGTGAGACATTCCGAGACTGGAATGGCAGTCCCGGAATGGAGCATGCCAAGAAAATCCTAGCAGGGCCATCCAAACATAGAACAGGAGAACTCCTAAAGGCCGGTAGGAATGGAACGCGTGTGCTCACTGCAGTGTACACGGGCCACTGCCGGCTGAGATCTCATCTACAGAGGACGGGACTGGTGGAAGACGCCGAATGCCGACTCTGTATGGAAGATGATGAAACAATGAAGCACGTTATGTGTAACCCTGCCCTGCTGGGAGCAGGACCAGGTTTGAGATGTTTGGCAAACCCATGCTAGACCTATCAGACCTAGGAGACATATCGCCCTCAGACATAACGGCCTATATTAAGAGGCTGGGTCTTGAGGATGAACTTTGACGCTCTTGTAAATTAGAGCTTGTAGAAACTGAGCCACAATAGGCCCTCGCGGCCTCAGTGGAGGGTCCCCTATGGGACCCACTCTTAGTCAAATACAATACACTAACATGCTACACTAAACACTATAATTAAACTTAATAAATTAATCGAATTTTACACTATACCTTCAAAGAAAAAAGAAATATGAACATTTTCTAAAACTAGAAGAAACAGAACTTCCATACGTGCAACCAGGATAATAGGTCAGGGGGACAAAGAATATAAAATATTTTAAAATGTGCATTCAGAAAGAAAAAATACCTCGAAAATTATCTAAACAAACATTTTTATTTCTTATCAGTGAGAAGCATCGGCCTTGTCAGCCTTGAAGAATTTGTCGGGTATTTACAATGGTCGAATTGTATAATTGCCAGCTTTTATAGCATATCTAATAGATAAAAAGTAACTGGTCGATTAGTAACCAATTGGCACAGTCCGAAAATTATCGATTTTTATTTTCTCTGTTTTTATTGGTAGCTTCAAAATTCAGAGTAACAAAAAATATTTTTCTGTAGGGAAACCGGTCCTGCCATCTAGTAGTTTTAGTCCATAAACGTCATAGGTTGATCTACTTTAAAAATATATATACACGGTTTAAATATAAAAAGGGTGCACCAAAGAATGCTGCACGTAGGCGCCAGATACCCCAGGAACAGGCCTGTATAAGGTCATGTTAGAATATATTAGTATTTGAATAGAATATATTAAAAAACTACAAAAAAAGCAGTTTGAAGTAATGAATTTAAGTATACAGGGTACAGGGTCGGTCATAAGTCGTGGCGCATCAAAGTTTCATTTTTTTTAAAAGAAAAATAACAATTATAAACTGCAGTTTATAATCATCTGCTGATGATGCTAACATGGTTTGCGAAACGCGCGTCCAGTGTAAAAGTAAAAGTGTTTTGGTGTATTGTGGCAATTTAGTGTTTTAAAAAGTAACTAATTGATTTACCAACATATTCTCTATGTTAATTATAAATTAATTCTCCAAAAATAAATTCTTGTGAGCATTTTACAATACTATTAACAAGTAGACATCTCGTTTAAAGTGAAATACATGTAAATCTTACCATTTTCATCCTCGTTGGTCGACTTTAATCCACACACTCTACATATACAAGTGACCCAGGACTTCATTTCTTCCTCTGTGTCGGCCGCTAAATAGTAAGTACGATTGGGAGTCTTTATGTCAAACACATGATCAAATTTTAGGTTTCTCTCTTCAAGCTTTAGACCTAAATCAACCTATTTTCAAAAATATTTTGTTAGTATTTGACTTACATTAAGAAAACAATAGAAAGTAATAATAAAATCTTGATAAACAAATATATTACCTGATCACAACGATCCAAATCAATTAAACCTTTTAATTTTCTTCTATTTCTATCTGTATAATAGGTCAACACGTATTGTCCAGGTATATCACCCGAATGGGTCAACAGAAACCATCTTCTTCTCCACCTCTACAATCATTAATTAGAAATTACGTGTGTATAAAAATGTTTTGCTTATCTTTATTAAAAGTATGATTCATTGGCTAAATACTTTACTCATTTACTGATAATGTAACAAAATTAACAAATGAGATTAAATATATGTCAAAAACTTACTGCTCTCCAGATTCTTTTTGTTGGGGGTGACTTAGTCAGCCAGCCTTCCAAAACCACTTCCTCTGGACATTTTGCCATTTTTTAGCGTTTTAAATCTGGGATCCAACCATTGATGACTAATTTATTACCCTTTCTACTAAATACATGATCATTTCCAGTCGAATGAATAGACTTGAATGTTATTGCTTATTACGATCAAATGCATTTTAAATCGTTAAAATTAACTTAAATAACAATGGGATAGGTAATAACGTAAGACTTGTAAGTATTCTTTGTTGAAAAAAGTAAAAGCTAGGTATGGTATTTGATGAAATTTTTAAAATGAAAAAAAAAGAGAATGCAACTACATGCTGTCAACCTGTCAAATGTCAATGCTTGTTGTTTATGTTTTCCATAGATAACATATGTTTTCTGTTTCTTTTTGTCAGCTGTGGGTGTTTAATATTTTGTATATGTTTTTCACAATCATTGATGTGTCAGATAAAGATACATATAAACGTCAAACAATTGAATTTTTCCTCCCATTTATAAACAACGATCAGCTGAGAATGAAAAGATGGCGTTTCACTTTCGTTAAAAAATACATTTCATCCATCAGATATTCCCATTCCATAGTCAAAATTCGCAGTGAAAAAGTGAAAGTTAATGTTTCAAACAGCCCAGATATCTTTCATTAGACATTAAAAAAGCACGAATCAATGAAACATAAATAATTAACGAGAAATCATCTAATAAAGCTTGAAAGAAACAACCTTGTATGTTTTTCTTTGTGCACGAATTCACAGCTTGCAGTCAAGTAACAAAAATAGTATCTCGACCTCATTTCAAGACTACCTGTATTTACGAATGAACCGATTTTAGCAGTTTGAATTGGGATTAGTGACATCAACATGAATAATAAGAAAAGTGAACCCCAGGATATGGCAGCCTCTTCCAGAAATCGAACTGTTAGTGAATGTTCTTATAATAGCGATGATATTTCGGGATTTACAGGAAAAAGGTATGATTATATATTTACGATGTACTAGTTATTAATATTCTTTTTCTATATAATTTATTTTTTAAATAAAATAGTAAAAATGGAGTTTTTATACTCTACCTATTAGGTAAAAAAAGCTAAAATACTGCTTATAGCTAGTTTATTGATTTGGAATGTTTACAGTTTCCCCATGTTTTATTTACTTAAAGGCAATACATTTAAGTAGAATTATTTGACTTAAAGGCAAAGAACAACCTCCCAAACTTTCATGGTTGCCAGTGGATTAACTGCTGCCTCTCCACCAAAATTCGTATCATTAGAAGAGATTATGCAAGCTGCTAATGGCATGAAAGATATGAATTTGGTTCATCAAATTGTAGTTGATGACAATTTTCGTTTGGAAAAGGCTGAACCGGAACCAAATACTGTTCAGAGGGTAATAAAGGACACCATGACCAAAGCCTTTTGGGACGTTCTAAAAGAACAGCTAGCCGAAGACCCTCCAAATTATAACCAGGTAAATAAAATTCTTCATTTTTTTTGTAAAGGTAAACCATGAAATATTTTTATGAGTCATATAACATCAACAAAGAAGTCTGGCACTGAGAGCTAACCTTGTTATACATAAATGGATATAACAAGGTTGATTCATATTATTCTTTTATTTGTTTTTATAAAATATTATGGCTCGAAAAAAAAATGGTCAGATTTGTTTTGGAAATGAAGGTTGCTCACTGACATTGTTTTTTTTTCAATTATACTTGATATTTTTGATTTGCTTCAGGCAATGAAACTTTTGGAAGAAATAAAACATAATTTATTTGACCTTCTGCTGCCTCAACATACAAAAATTAAACAGCAGATTTCCGAGGTTTTAGATATAGATTTGATAAGGCAACAAGCTGAAAAGGGGATTCTCGATTTTAATGTAGGTTTTTTAATAATATTTTTTGGATAGTTTTGAAACTACACTACTAGTTTTTTAGTATTATGCACAGTACGTTATTTCTATTATGGCGAAAATGTGTGCACAAGTAAGAGATGAAAAAATCAACGAATTGAAGCAGACTACTGATGTTATTGAGGTATATAAAGGAATTTTAGAGGTCAGTATATTGTTTATAAGTTTTTATGTTTGTATTTTATATATGTAAAATTCATTTCAACTTTACTATTTTCCTTGTTATGGGCTTTCATACTATCACAGATTACACAGATTATAATCTTTGTTTTTTCTTTATTGTTTTTTGTGGTTCCAATTTTCGGAATCGGGTACTAGTTAGGTTACTAGTTTGCGCACATAGCACACCCACTTATGGCCTCTAAAATTGTGTACAGCGCCTGACCGGCACAGTTATTAGAGAGATATCGGAAAACCGAATAGCGTCATCCAGTATTTACGCGTACCTTATCATGGTTACGATATGCGCGAGTCAATTTTTAACGCAACACCCGCTAATAACGTTACCGCCTGACGTAATTTGCGGATCAATTACACCAAGCGCTCTTTCTAAATAACCTCTGGTAACGTTTAAAAATTGCTAAAATGGGCATGTGCGGGTATTTGACAACCGGAGCCGGCCGGCGAGATCTTTTATTTTAGGTTATGTTTGAATTGTTTTGAATTATTGCTTTAGTTTTATTAGGTAATTTGATATTTAAGTAGCTGGGATTAGTTTTAATTAAATAAATATGGCCCAAAATATGGATTCCACCTTTTCTAATACTAAAGAACCTATAAAGTGTCTTAGGTTTACAGCAGATGACGACTTAGCCCTTCTAAGAGAATTTGTTGCTTGTTGCCCTAAACCCACTGGCAGACGTTGAACAATAAAGCACTGGAAATAAGCACTTTAGCCCTTTAGTTTTAAAATACCTAGTAAACAAAACAATTTCAAAGTTTTAAATTCAAAGTTAGGTTAAGTTTAAATAGCGGACGCGACGCGATCAGAATTCTTTCCGGCCGATAACTATAAATGAAGAGAGTTAATACCACCTCATGTAAAGGAAATAACACCTGGCCTTATTAGCGTCCATGCACGCTATTCGGTTTAGCGATATCTCTCTATTATACTGTTTATTGTTATTTTACGCGAGTTTATTTTTGCACATAGGAAACTTGACTCGTTTGCACATCGTCATAAAAAACAATTTTCGTACCACGAATTAGGGACAAGATTTTTATCTCATTACTAATTACCAATACATTTTCTTAACAAATTGGTTTAAGAATCGCTAGAATACGTCTTTAATTTTCATACTAACTAATCTGTCAACATTTGGTATTAAACTAATTGATATTAAATATAATTTAATATCAATTAATATTATATAATTAAATACTAAGCCACTAGAGGTCGTCATCTATAAGATTCCCTATTCAAGGTTTGGCGAGCTAGTCGGAAAATCTTATGAATAGTAATTTTCTTTGAAAGTGTCAACTATTGGATGAATTTCAACAATTGAGATTTTACCTTAAAACGTACGAAAATGGGACACCCGTACAGTGTTAGCATTTTATTTGATCTAATTTTTGACATAGCGTAACATTTTTTATTTATTTTGGGTGATAGATCATTCATTAAAATATAGAAATTGTAGGGATTTTTGTCAAATTTTATTGACAAGAAGAAAAAACTAAAACAGTATTTTATTTTATTTTAGACTTTAGAATTAATGCAGCTTGATATGGCTAATTTTACATTGCAAATAATTAGGCCGGACATTATTAAAAATAGCGTCGAACTGGAACGAGAGAAATTTGCTAGTTATTTAGCCATCCAACCAGGTAGAAAGCTAGTTTTTTTAGAAATTGCTAGTTTACGCTTCGTTACGTGTCCGAAGAGAGCGCGCGATACAGGCGGTTCGACCGACGCACAGTGGATCGAGGTTAGACGCGCAACTAGGGGGGGGGGCAGTGGGGGCTTGGTTTGGTTTGGTTTGGTAACTTAAAATTGTGTTGCGGTCTATTGAGAAACACGAACTACTTTAAATAATATCGCATGATTAGGCAGAATTAGGCAGACCATTTTTTGTTTATAAACAAATACATTCCTCAAACATTATTATTTGCGATAAGAGGAAACGTCGATAAGCGTCGATAGTATTTTTTTGGTATTTTGAAAACTATAAAAATATGGATAAAAACGACGTTTAAAAAAACATAAAAAATTAATACATAATAATAATTTCAGAACTTTCTTAGTAATAGTCCAAAAGGTAGAGAGAGCCTTTTCTTTAAAATATAAAAAATAATATTCATCTCCGGTTTTTTAAAGCCTCCAGGAATATTTAGATCCTTATTTGCTATCACTAAGCGAAAAAGACAATTAAATGTGATGGGTTTAAGAGAAAAAAAAACATGGTTACAAATTTTATTCAAAAAATTTGTTGTTTTTTTTTAAACCAATGCTACTACTATGCGAAAAGTTTAATAGTGCGTCATATAGTTTAATTTTTCCAAAATCACTTATGGCCGCTCTTTAACATATGCAAGAGCCACTGTGCGACGCGTGTTTATGTTTCGGCGATGCAGGATACACAATAATAAGCATAGATAACGGAGCTAATTCATAAATTTCATAGGAAATTATTCATTGTTCATAAGAAAACGTTTTTTAGTTTTTTGATAACGCTGCGTCGCGCGTCGGTCGTATCGCCCGTATCGCGCGCTCTAGTCGGTCACGTAACGAAGCGTTAGAATAATATATCATAGTAATGGTTTTAGACTTCATTTTTGGTAAATTCTAGATGGTCTGCAGCATACCAGAAAATGGCTTTTGAATCATACTGCGTTAAATGAACCGGTGCCTACCAACGTAGAATACGAAAAATTCATTAGATCCTGTACGAAAAAAGTATTTACCAGAGCGTGCATAGATCTAATAGACTGGGATAGGTAAAGATAATTTTAGATATATGTACCGGGTGGCCAACTAAGAATGGACGCCGGCTGTTTCTCAGAAACTACTTATCGTATAACTTTGGGAAAAAAATTCTAATAAGTAAATCGACCAAGAGAAATCGCTGGAAATTATTTTCAAGTTCGAAAAATGTCCGCTAGGGGGCGTTTCTCTGATAGCCAATCAGAAAACAGCGTTTTTCTCAAAAATATGCAGGTGAACAGGTATTTTAAATATTACTATTGTAATCATCGAGAAATTTGTAATTTTTTTGATAGAGAGTGTTTTTCTCTATCTCATAAAATAAAGTGGTGGGGGAAGGTTAAACTAGCTTTTATTAAAATAAGGATAACTCTGGTTTAGGTTAACCGATTTAAATAAACTAGGGCTCGTTTAAAAGAGCTTTTCTTCCTTAATGATATTCAGTTTAAATTTTGTTTCCATAATTTTTTTCATGGTAGCTAGAGGGCGCTGTTTGACATCATAACAGATATTGCGCTTTTCCATAAGAAATTTAAATAGGAGGCTATATTTCTCTTTGCACAGTTAAATAGCACACAAACTTTCCAAAATATCAGCGCAAACCGCAATTATCTATCTTATCTCTAACCGAAGATATTAAGAGAAAAATCATGTTAGGCTATCGCTTAGGATTATCTGATCTAAAAATTCGAGTAGTAGGCTAGGAAACAAAAAGAGGTTAAACAAAATTGGTTACGTCAAAATATCAAAACATATATATTAATATCATTTTAATACCATTTAATTGTTTTTTATCTATGTTCGTTGTTGATTCGACCCCATAAATTAAAACCCAGGCATATTGAATCCGATGACCTAGCTGGTCATGGAAATATGCCGCTCCAGCGTCTCTATCTACTAAAGTAAGTCGTATCCAAGAAGACCCACACATTCATAGCAGAAAAAGCGACTAAGCTGCACCAACTGCATCATTTACACCAACTGCGTTTATGCTGATGAAATTGCAACAAATGCAATTTCATCATGATGAATCCCCTAACAAAATTGGCTATTCATCTCTTAGAAATTATGAATAGTTCATTTCATTCAGATAATTAAAAAAGTCCAATCATTCGCCATCCTAGAATTCGTGCCTAAATATTTACCGACCAACGGTCTTGGTTCTGAACTACTTGCATTCAAGGTAGATTTGGACCAGTATCAGTAGTGCATATTATTAAGATTCGCACCTTCGGGTTTATAAAAAAAGTGACCCAAACGACATAAACTTTATAATATAATAATAAACTACACAAACAACAGGTAAAACACAAACAAGTGAAATCAATGACGAACTTGAATTAATAGCTAAATGACGTTACATGAAATAAACCCCTAGTTTTCGGCTATACAAAATTTATTATTGTTAAAAGCAATATGGCGGCACAAAATTCCTAGAAATTTTAATAAAATTATTGATTGTCCGCAGTGGCGTATCCAGGATTCATGCCTGGGGGGGTCAATAACTCAGTATTATACCTAAATATATATTTTTTTACATTAACAAGTAAGTACCTACCTAATTACAGCTAGGTACTATGATAAATAGTAGGTATAAATAAATAACAAATATTTTTCTTAGGATAATGGTTTAATAATTTTTCTATACTTTGCTAAACTGTTGACCGAAGAAAGAGCCGAATACCAACAAACATTGCAGCCACAATCCGACATTCAAATAAGAACCGCAGCCTCTCCAGAGGATCAATATCAAAGAAGTAAAACAAATTTGCCAAACCCTGAAAAATAGAAAATCGCCTGGTCCAGGTGAAATTCCTCCAGAATTACTCAAGTACGGCACGGATAAATTATATAAGCAGCTCGATAGTTTTTTCCAAAAGTGCCTTAATGGTGAAAATATACCGAAAGAATGGAAGACATCATATATAATAACAATACACAAGAAAGGAAGTAAAGACGATTGCAATAATTATCGAGGAATCTCCGTGCTGAGCTCTGTTTCAAGGGTCTATGGAAAATTGGTCAAAAAGAGAATTGAGGAAGAATACCGGGATATGGAGGCTGAAGAACAAGCGGGGTTTAGAGCTGGTAGATCCACGGTCGACCATTTATTTACACTGACACAGATAATTGAGAAAAAGATGGTAAGAAATCAAGAAATACATCTCCTCTATGTAGACCTCAAGAAAAAGCATAAATGTACCCCAGTCTAAATTGTGGGAAGCCCTCGAGAAAACGAATATCAGCATAACATTAATTAAGGCTGTCCAAGAACTTTATAAGAACAACACTAGCCAAGTAAAGAAAGGACAAACAGTATCAAAGGGATTCAGCATAAACAAAGGTCTTAAACAGGGCTGCTCTCTATCGCCGACACTGTTTAAAATTTATTTGGAACAAGCTCTGAAAACGTGGAAAAGGAAGTGCGAACAGATGGGGATACCACTAAGCGACTCGATACTTTACACTCTGTGTTTCGCTGATGATCAAATAATACTGGCTCAAGACTACTAAGTAACATTACATCACAAAAAAAATAATCATTAACACAAAAATTAACTAAAAATTAAAGAAACAAATAACAAAATAAGAAGGAACAAACAAAAGGCCAAGTGAATAAAGTAAAAGCACAGATACAAATAAAATTAAATATTGTTACGTTTTTCGTCGGTTCCGTGTGGATAGAAAGTCACAATTTATTTAAACACTATTTATTTAACACTAATGAACAAAAATAATAACGATAAAAGACTTATAGAACTATTTACAAACGATTTATAACTAAGAATTTATTTTGAATTTTAGCGCGTCAACTGTATATTTATAACTGCCCCCCTGTAGGCCACGGCCGCCGGCTTTTATACCGGCAGGTAAAGAACTCTAGAATTGTCCATAGATCGTTAGGTGCGTAGAGAAGGTTTTCGAATGTTCTCGTATGTACTCGTCCATTCCAGTGGGACTCGATTCTTCTCGAACGAATGAATCATTGCGGTGTCTATGCGATGTTAAGGTCATCCGAGGGCGGGCCATATTGTGAGGTTAGGTCGAGTCCACACCGGCCCGCAACAATATCAATATCCAGGCTTTTTGCCTTTTGCCTGCATTTCATTAAGTACCTCCTCTGTACTAACAGATATTTCTGGATACATATACAAAAGGGATAAGCCATTTAGTCTGTCTTTACTTACGGTGTTACTTAGGTAAGACTTTAACAATTTTAGGGTTGAAAATTTCCTTTCAGGTGTAGCCGTACTAACGGGTGAAGTGCAATTTTTTTTAATAAAATAAATATGTTAGGAAGTAGTTCTTGGTCAAATCTTAACAGAGCATCGAGTGCGGAACTTGGGTAATCTTCTGGTGCATAGTCTTCAAATATTCTATGCTAGAGCTTAAATTCAGCCGAAACTACAGAAAATGAAGAGTTTTCTAAGTCGTTTTTATAAAAATCTATAGCATATATTTTAAATGCGATACTTCATAATCGGATTTTTTTATTTAGGGAGGGAATATAAGAGAGCTAAATGACCGTAGTATGTCTTTGTATTTAACAAATCGTTCTTCCAAATAGATCTACGTAAATCTTCTACGTAATCTAAAAAAAGAATAAAGATTGATAATCTGTAATAATCTTGAGCAGTTTCAGTTTTAAAATTCGGCCTGTTTTTTTGTCTACTAGTTATTCGGTTTTTTTTATTTCCTGTCCAAACAATTCGTTCATGTTTCTGTTTGCTTCTTTAAAAATATCTGCGAAGCTGGTATTTAAATTATTGTTTAAAATATAAATAGGACCGGCGCGCGTCGTGTCTGGAGGGGGCAATTGCCCCCTTTGCCCCCACTTGGATACGCCACTGATTGTCCGACTTCTGGACATTTTAATCTGAGAACTACCTTCGTATAATTAACCAAGAAATTCGTAAAAATTATGCGAATGGACGATAATGTTACATAAACCCGTTTAAAAATTTAAGACATCATTTTTTTTAAAAAAACGTCCGAAATTCGAATGCATGAAAATGAACTTAAACGTTTTGATATCTTGACGTTACATATTTACCTCTTTTTGTTTCCTAGCCTACTATTATAAGTTTTAGACCATATAATCCTAAGCGGCAGCCTAACATGATTTGTTCTCTTAATATCTCCGGTTAGAGACAAGACAGAAAGTTGCGGTTTGCGCTGATATTTTGGAAATTTTGTGCTCTATTTAACTATATCTCCTATTTAAATTTCTTATGGAAAAGCGCAATATCTGTTATGATGTAAGTGTAATTTTATTTTGCTTTATACTGGATATCATTAAGGAAGAAAAGCTCTTTTAAACGAGCCCTAGTTTGTTTAAATCGGTTAACCTAAACCAGAGTTATCCTTATTTTAATAAAATCTAGTTTAACCTTCCCCCACCACTTTATTTTATGAGATAGAGCAAAACACTCTATATCATAAAAAATACAAATTTCTCGATGATTACAATAGTAATATTTAAAATACCTGTTCACCTGCATATTTTTGAGAAAAACCCTGTTTTCTGATTGGTTATCAGAGAAACGCCCCCTAGCGGACATTTTTCGAACTTGAAAATAATTTCCAGCGATTTCTCTTGGTCGATTTACTCATTAGAATTTTTCTCCCAAAGTTATACGACAAGTAGTTTTTGAGATAAAGCCGGCGTCCATTCTTAGTTGGCCACCCGGTGCAATAAAATTATATAAGAGTTTCTTGCCTTGAACTGCTATACTGCTATACAGGGTGCTACAAATTCGAGGTACCAGCGTTGGTATCTCGGTAACCGTAATAGATACGAACATGGTTAAATTGGGGCAATGTTCACCAAGATGCCATCAAAAAAGTTCTAAAAATTTCAAAGACTGCTGAGGTTTTTGGAAAAAACGGTTTTGAAAATTAATTTTATTTTTTCCTGTCGTTACTTTTAAGAAAATTAAAAAACTAATTGCACATTCTCATAGCCACTTTATAAGGGCTATCTGATAGTATTTTTAGATTTTCAAATTAGCTGATAATTTGTGAGATACAGAGGCCAACCTAATTTTTCACAGGAAAAAATAAAATTAGTTTTCAAAAAAATCCGTTTTTTTTCCAAAAACTCAGCAATCCTTGAAATTTTTAAAACTTTTTTGATGGCATCTTGGTGAACATCCCAAAGCGCAACTTTGCCTTAATTTAACCACGTTCGTATCTATTACGGTTACCGATATACCAATGCTCGTACCTCGAATTTGCTTGTATATCTCCAAACAGAATAATTAGGTATCAATTTTACAGGACGCAGCCTTATCCAGAGACGTTTATTCTGGATGAAGAACGACTGTACGATTTGCAGGTCAGAACGTTCCGTCTGATAACAGCCGCAACGATTCTATTAGTAACGTTGAGTAATGCAGGGCCGGATTTACAAACTATCGGAACCTTTAAACAGTCACTAAAGGACCACATTATGATTCTGATTCAAAATATTAAGAATAACGAGGATCTAGACGATGTTTTACCAAATATAGCAGAACAGGTACCATGCGATCGAAAAAAACGGCGTCAGAGACGGCTAGAGAATGACAATCGATGATCATTTTGGCGATGTCAAGAAAAAAAAGTCCGGAAAGCAGAAATCTGCCTTCACTATGTTCGTACCCTGAGACGTCATTGCTTGGCCGGTATTCTTCTTGTGTAGTTTGAAATTCAAGAAAAAATATTTTCTCCGAATAGATTTGTGTGTCTGAAAACGTTCTATCCTTTTTTAATATTTCTATAATTAGTGTTAATTTTGATTTTTAAGTTTTATGTCACCTAAATGACGTCTACAGATTGACCTCGCCAAATTATCATCGATTGCAAATATCTCTTATTATTATTTTTTCTTTTAATTTAGGTAGTGAACGACGTAAAAGAAGCTCAGGCAAAGTACGATTTACAAGGATTAGTCCCTTCAAATGAAACGTCCTTCAAAGATATCGTAATAGATAGTGGAAAAGACGATCATAAAGTTCGTACTATTGTCAGTAAGTATTCTGCAAAATACTGAAATTTTTTGAAGTGTATATCTTGTTTTTTTGTTCTAATAGAACAACGTATAAAAGATTTCTTCTTGGACATTATCGAATCGGCAACAGCAGCTCCCCAAAAAGTACCATCCGGATTGACAGCGTTTCAGAGAGAATTGACAGAAATTGCCGGTCAGTTTCTGAGAATAGTCTCTCATAACAGTACAGTGTTTTCTATTTATTATTCGGATATTATAGCAGCAGCGCTGCCTAAACCTTAAACGTTAGCTTATAGTAACAATGTAAGATAAAAACAAGAGTTATTGTTTTTATTTACTACTAATTCAACTAAAATTAACTAAGATAATTTCTAAATCAGATATCTTGGATATATGATTTTTATACTGATGATAAAATATTAATAAATATAATATTTATAACTAGCCTACTGTTTTTTTACATTTTAACTATAGGTTAAAATGTGTTGCCCAATAGAATCTATGACGTCTAAGAATTATTGACAATGACAAATGCGTCTGTAATTTAAAGTTACTGGGAAATTGTATTTTTTTGCATATCGTCTGTCGAACTCTTCCCTGACTCGTAGGATAGACTCAAGGATACTATAGAGATAAGGATAGTTCGATTCTCCTATCTTCCTGCACTGTCAGTTTTTTTACGTCATCTATTGACCGAGTTGAAGTTGGCGCTAAAGATTTTAGACAGTGACAGTTATTTTTGCATTTGACGGACGAGCGCACAGTGCGTTGGAAGATAAATTTAGCGGGACAAAAGCGTTTGGTTAGAAATAAGCCAAAAAATATGTACTGATAAGAATAAATAGTAGACATTCCAATTGATACAAAAATGCATGAATATTCTTTGTATTTCGATACATTTTTATCAACCAAATTTGGTCGTTTTCTGCTCAGCAAGGCAGAGATCATACGAAAACAAAATATTTACAAGTGCTTATACATTTTATTAGAAAGCCAAATTATGTTGAAGATTGCCAAAGTAAGGGTGTAAAAGTGTACTTTTCTACTGTACATATATTATTTGTTAAAATCCTTCGTACCTTTGTTCTGCAGATATCAAACTTTTTTTTCAAATATCGATATATTGAATGATGTAGATCTTTTGAGTTACCAATAGTTACCAACACAGGTAGTCACAGTCACAGGGAGTTCAAGTTTAACAGGTGAATGCCCAAAAAAATTAATTTCAATCGGATAGTATAAAAACAAAACAACTCCATCAAAAGGCACTGAGTTTAAAAAATTGACTTAGATACTTACTATATATGAATTTACAATTACCGAGTGTTAAAATTAAAATTAAAATATCTATCTTATTTATTATTTTCAAAATAAAATATATTTTTTTAAAATAAATTATAGAGGGTGTCACAAGATTACAATTAATTAAAAAAAACTGCTAAAGAGTTTTTTGATATCATAATTTTACGTATTTGGCAATAGTTTACAATACGGTTTTTGTGTGTCATGTACGAATAATATCATAGTTTTATTATCTTGTATTTATTTATTAATAAATTAAGTTGTTAATAAATAAATAAATTTAACCATATAGTTGCTATATATTAGACCATTTGCTACGTTCTTAGATTTTAAGTCCCAAACATTGCTCTTGAGATTTTGTCCCGCTAGAATAACCATCCGCCGCACTGTGGAGCGCTGGTCAGCGCGTGACGTAGCATTCTACGGGGACTACGACAGCGGCGATTTGACGCGATCGAACAGTCCTTTAGAATATAGGTATACAGTCCTTGGGATAGACTTACCTATCGAAATGTCTATGATTATCAATATACCGATCTGGTCGTCGAAACTGCGTGGTCTGGAATTTAACGTGTAAGACAGTGATGTAGCCAGCTTACTGGAAAATCAAATGTATTAAAAAGAAATAGAAGTTGGGTTGATATTTGTTTTATGCGGTATTGTCGGATTTTGCATTAAAACTTCAAACCGCACAAGTAGAGGCGTTTATCAAAAATGTTGCATCTACGGTTCAAACTTTATTTGTTACAATTAGTTACTGATTTTACTACAGCTGTCATCTACATATATAAAATGCTAATGTTTATTGGTGTAGTATCTACTGAAGTAACGACTTGCTCTAGAAAGTTGCTTTTTTTACTAAAAGATAGCTAATTGGCTGTTCTAAAAACTGTCGTCGCCGGATTTTTTGTTTTTCATTTAATAGCAAAATAAAAACACTAAATCACCACAATACACCAAAACACTTTTACGGCGGACGGGCGTTTCGCTAACCATGTTAGCATGATTATAAACTAAAGTACAATCTACAAGTTGAGCGTTTATATACTCGCCCAGTGGGCACCGAGTGGGCGTGGCAAAATCTAGACAACCGAGTCAGAGCCCACTGAGCGTAACAGTTAGATTTCCGCCACTAGAGTAGTAGGAACAAAGAACTTGAAGGAATTGGACCGTTGTCTCTGTTCATACTATCTTTACATTTATTAATTCTGATGCGCTTTCATATGCATCTAATTGCCTGTAATTTAAACAAGCCTCAAATTAAATTTAATTAATAATGTAGATTGTACTTTAGTTTATAATCATCTGCTGATGATGCTAACATGGTTAGCGAAACGCGCGTCCGCTGTAAAAGTGTTTTGGTGTATTGTGGTGATTTAGTGTTTTTATTTTGCTGTGTAACACCAGAAGTTCCAACCCTCAACTGTAATTTTCATTTAATTAAAAAAAAATAAGTATTTTTTCTTCCCGTCCGTCGTGGCGGATGCCCAAGAACAGTTAACCTAATAGGACTGCTCATTCAGCCAAAAGTGTCCGCCAGGTGCATGCGAAAACTACTCGCTTTGTGACGTCATTGTAGCCCTTGTCATGGTTATTAGTCCTTATCCGGCAACCAATAATACACATACGTGCATTATTGGTTGCCGAATGCAAAACGCTCATTATTTAGTTTATTTATTTAAACACCTTATATGTATGCAGTATAGAAAATTAACTGTATAAATCGTATTAAATACTCGGATAATGCATTTTTAAGAACAGCAGTTCCCAGCATCACCTTTTGCAAGCATTCTTTTTAGAGTACTTCCATATTTTGCTTTAAAATAATTAAAAACAATATCGTAGGCACTTAGTAAGCACTTTGTCACAATCCGCAACACAAAATGAACGTATTTATACACTCTATAGCTCTAAAAACTTTAAAGACACCTTTTTCACATTTAAAATTGACAAAATAATTAACTCAAAATTTCTCAGCTGTTATTTTTATAAGTTTACCATAGGCAACTAATAATACACACTATCATGACAAGGCTTTGACAAGGACTACAATGACGTCACAACTGTCAGCTGAAGCGCGGGAAGAGGCGAACGTACGTCTTATGAGGATGAGCAATCCTATTAGTTTACCGTTCTTGGCGGATGCCCCAGGCTTCAACTACTAGAATATATTTAGCTTATATATGTTATCTTAATATCAGTAGTATACATGAATGTATTTAAAATCGTTAACACGTAAAAACCGGCAACACTCTATCGCATGCATTAAAATACAGATGAAGTGACCAGGATGGTATATCGATAACTATCAAATTTCCGATAAATAGTTATCGGAAGTCACCTATTATTACTCATCATATCGATATAACAGAAAAAAAACCATCTCTAATCGTAGTACCTATTATAAAATTTTAAGTAAACTAAAAGATTACTGAAAATATACAGCAATTTATATAATTTTAAAATATTCAACTATGTTCAGTTATTTTTAAAAATTAAATAAAAATACACCAACAAAAATCAATTTCGATATATCGATGTACCGATATATCGATAATTAAATTTATCGATATATCGAAAACAAATAATTTTAATTGAACATACCAAATAAAACAAATTTTAATAATTTTAAAAGATTTATTTGATTCTCACAGTAAATATATGCTTTTTAATTTTACAAACGAATAGAAAATGCTATTGGCAATGTCCCGCATACAGAAGTGCTTAAAGCTTCTAGGTAAACAATAGAAAAAGGGTTTGCACAGAAAACATATTTGTTTCCTATGATTTAAAACAGCATTAAATTCAGCTATTCAGCTTCTTACAATTATTTAGTGGAACGCAACCAATTACCAACAAAAATTCAAGACCACCTCTCCTATGTAAAAAATATCAAAAACTATATAAAATCACCATTCCAAAATGTTAGATGGTCTCCATAATCAATAACAGCTATTTAGGATTACAATAGTAGGTGCTTAATAATATAATAACACTTAAAATCACAATTATACATATAAATAATGTTTTTTTTATGTATGACAGATAGTACAGATCAACTTCATAATAAACCATACAGGCCTCTACTATAACTATTTAGCCGATAATTGTTTTTAAAAAATCTCAAATAATCTTAAACTAAAATTAATTCCTTTAAAATTCTATAAGCCTTATATTTTTATACAACTTTGGATTTTTTATATTCTGGGTAAATCCCAGTTACTAAAAACATCGAAAGGATTACTGTATTTTTTTCATCAACACTGAAACTACCATTATAACTAAATTATCTCGAAACTAAAGGCCCCCATACGCTTCGGTTATTTAGTACGGTTTTAACCGAAAGGGTAGGACTGTTTGTATAAAAATGTCAGTGTATATGAGTGTTCGTTGACTATCTGTCATCGCCAGATATTTTAACCATACGGTTTGGCCCGTTCCTTCCTACCCGATATTGTATGGATATGCTCAATAGTCGAAAATCTAGTTTTGAGCAAGGAATATTTCCCAAACCCGAAAAACCAACTAACCAATGAATTAACACCCTCCAAATAACCACGGTAACCAACTCGCCAAATAACTAAACCAATCCAACCAAAAAGTCAATCCAATCAAATCACACTAAGCAAAAAAAAAATAATCGAATAAAATTAATTTTTCGGGTTTGGGAAATATTCCTTGCTCAAAACTAGATTTGCGTATTTTTCTCGGGGATTGCCCGAATTCGACTATTGAGCGTAATAGAATATATTTTTCCGAGCGCCATTTTTTTTCTATTCCTTTTCTGGATTTTCTTTTTTATCGTAATTACCGCCGCCATTGCTAGCAATTTTTTCTTGGATACATTGTTCTTAACCACGGCGCGGATAAAATGATTTCATTTGACCAAAATGAGACAATTGCTGTCCTCCATTCGCGAACTTCGAGTTCCGGGCTTTACGCTCTAGGGCTACTCGAGAACGGTTCTGAAAGGAGCTGTGCGCGATAGCCTCGTGCCGCCATATGGCGGGGAACAGTTCTGGAACTTTATGACTCAATTGAATGGAGTGAGAGTATCGCGTTCTTGAACAGTTCAGAGTTGCTCAACTACGTGAAAGGAGGACGGCAAATGTGTGGAGGTTGCTTGCCCGTGCTTTCTATTAGGGATGAACGATTATGAACTTTACCTATCAATAATGTCGCAATTGACCTATTGATATATTTTAGTATATCTGTTATAATTTGATATACCGATAATTATCGATAGTTCTCAGTATATCGGAAAAAATCCCATCCCTGCTTTCTACCCGAACCCGAAAATCGACTCCTCCTCCGTGCCCCGCTTAAAGATATCCAAAACGTCCAAACATGTTGTCTCGAAATGACTGGTAGCATCGTAAGACTGCGAGATTAAGATTTACGACTGTAATCCGTCACTGGTATCAATCAATTCCATATATCGATAATTTTGAAGTATCCTATTGTTATTCGATACATCAATAACTATCGATATATCAGAAAAAAGCCCATCCCTACTTGCTACCCGCGATTTAACCGTACAGTTAAAACCGAGCAAAATAACCGTGTGGTATATGGGGACCTTAAGAAGGGACCAGAAGTCATTCTGAATTCCTTTTTCAAGAACAAACGATAAATTTGAACATAAAATTTGACGGATGACGGATGATTTGATTAAACGTACAGTTAAAGCCGGCCAAATTAATCGTGTAGTGTATGGGGGCCTTAAGAAAATAATGAATTCTGAATTCCTTTTTCAAAAAAAACTATAAATTTGAGCATAAAATTTGACGGATGACTAAAAAAATAAAGATAAGATAAAAAAAAAGAAATTGCATAAAAATTTAAATTAACCTGTATACTTTTTTTATTGTTTTTCGTCTCCTAGTTCATGTTTAATTTTCGAAAAATCGAACTTCTCCACCGTGCCCCGCTTAAAGATATCCGACACGTCCAAACATGTCGTCCCGAAATGAATGGTAACATCGTAAGACTGCGATATAAAGATTTACGACTGTAATCCGTCATTGGTATTGATTAGTTCGATATATCGATAATCGATAAAAAATCTTGTATATTCGATATATCAAAAACTATCGACAGTTATCGATATAGCAGGAAAAAGCCCATCCCTACTTTCTATCCGCGTTTTAAACGTAACGTACAGTTAAAGCCGGCCAAATTAATCGTGTGGTGTATGGGGGCCTTAAGAAAATAATGAATTCTGAACTCCTTTTTCAAAAAAAAACTATAAATTTGAGCATAAAATTTGACGGATGACCAAAAAAAAATAAAGATAAAAAAAAAGAAATTGCATAAAAATTTAAATTAACTCGAATACTTTTTTTATTGTTCTTCATCTCCTAGTTCGTGTTTAATTTTCGAAAAATCGAACTTCTCCACCGTGCCCCGCTTAAAGATATCCGACACGTCCAAACATGTCGTCCCGAAATGAATGGTAACATCGTGAGACTGCGATATAAAGATTTACGACTGTAATCCGTCATTGGTATTGATTAGTTCGATATATCGATAATCGATAAAAAATCTTGTATATTCGATATATCAATAACTATCGACAGTTATCGATATAGCAGGAAAAAGCCCATCCCTACTTTCTATCCGCGTTTTAAACGTACAGTTAAAGCCGGCGAAATTAATCGTGTGGTGTATGGGGGCCTTAAGAAAATAATGCATTCTGAATTCCTTTTTCAAAAAAAACTATAAATTTGAGCATAAAATTTGAGGGATAACCAAAAAAAAATAAAGATAAGATAAAAAAAAATTGCATAAAAATTTAAATTAACCCGAATACTTTTTTTATTGTTCTTCATCTCCTAGTTCGTGTTTAATTTTCGAAAAATCAAATTCCTCCCCCGTGCCCCGCTTAAAGATATCCAACACGTCCAAACATGTCGTCCCGAAATGAATGGTAACATCGTAAGACTGCGATATAAAGATTTACGACTGTAATCCGTCATTGGTATTGATTAGTTCGATATATCGATAATCGATAAAAAATCTTGTATATTCGATATATCAATAACTATCGACAGTTATCGATATAGCAGGAAAAAGCCCATCCCTACTTTCTATCCGCGTTTTAAACGTACAGTTAAAGCCGGCGAAATTAATCGTGTGGTGTATGGGGGCCTTAAGAAAATAATGAATTCTGAATTCCTTTTTCAAAAAAAAACTATAAATTTGAGCATAAAATTTGACGGATGACCAAAAAAAAATAAAGATAAAAAAAAAAGAAATTGCATAAAAATTTAAATTAACTCGAATACTTTTTTTTATTGTTCTTCATCTCCTAGTTCGTGTTTAATTTTCGAAAAATCAAATTCCTCCCCCGTGCCCCGCTTAAAGATATCCAACACGTCCAAACATGTTGTCTCGAAATGAGTGGTGGCGTCGTACGACTGGGAAATAAATATCTGCGACTGCAAGCCGTCATCGGTGGGCTCGTAATAATCCGATACGGACACGAATTTCTGACGGACCGGACCGAGCAAGTCTAGCCCGGCCTTTATTTCCGATTCCGGATTATCCGTTTCCACGGTTGTGGACACCATCGCTATGAACCAGCCTTTAGCCGCAACCTGATGAGTGTAACTCACCAGCGAAACGTATATGTCGGAATGACGACCCACCTACGAAAAACAATTATTGTATATACTGTATGATCAAAAAAAATGGCGTTAAAGGCAGCTTGGGAATGACAATCGATAATAATTTTGGCGATTCAAAAATTGATAACTGGCGAGGTCAAAAATTAACACATAGGAAGATTAAAGGGAGGATAGAACGTTTAACCAACCTAAAATTTTAAACTATACTAATATTAGTTCCTTTAGGTCCGGATCCGATAACATACGGCTGGCACTCCCCACTCCTGCCTAGCATCGATCGCGCTGGCCCCATCCGTACGTACGTAAACTAGTCTTTTATTTAGTTCCTCTAGGTCCGAATCCGATACCGTACGGCTGGCACTCCCCACTCTTGCCTACCATCGGGCTACGCGCTAGTGATGGGCAAAACTGTTATTTTTAGATAACAGTTGAAACTGTTATAGTTATTTATAAAAAAAACAGCTTAAAAATAATAGGTTTCTTTATTTTATTGCTAAATATCTGAAAGAGTATGAGGGCGGTCACCGCCAGGCGTATTAACGCAGTTGCAAGTTGCAACAATGACGTGCTCGGTGGTAGTATTTCCAGGGTGTCAAAACATTTCTAAATATCGATTGTTATCTAAAATAACTCTCTAAAAACGGCGGTTCTTTACAAACAAGCGCTGTTTACAAATTGCGATATAAAAAAAGCCAAAATTCCGCCATTCGTCTATACACCGCCATATACATTCCGATCTACCTACGCCCTGCCCCTCGATCCGCCTGAATTGCGTAGTACAGGGTGCATCTCACAAGACGGGCTAAAACAACTGATGCGTTATTCTCCAACCTGTTTCGAACCTCCATTGACAATCGACCGATGCAGCAGCGTTCCTTTCCCACTCCTGTTATCTCGACCGCCAGGCGTTAAGCCCGCAACTGTTTCAAAAAAGCTGCTTCTTTTATATCCTATTATTTTTAAGCTGTTGCAAGCCCCACACGACCATCGACCGATGTAGCTACGTCCGCCGCCCCGTAGCGCATTCCCCACTCCGTTGTTCGTTGTATCTCGCCGCCTGTATCGATGGTTGTCGAAATAACATGTTTTCCATCCATAATCCATACTAGTTGTTTTTTGGAATTGCTTCGAGCTGCATCGCATTTCGTGGCGGTGCAGAGACTTCGTTTCACGAACGGTCGATCTCTGCGTATCGTTATTTTATATCTGTTATTTTTTAAAAGTAGTAACGGTTGCGTTATGTTATTTCTAAATAATTGTTATAAAATAACAGATAGTTAAATAACAACCCATCACTACTACGCGCGCTGGCCGATCCGTCGCCGTCGCGTATTATTATATATCGGTCACAGTCTCGATCCCGGAATAGGTCCCGAGGAACTAGTTCTTTGAGAAACCAGGAACTAGTTCCTTTCATTCCGGGGTCGGAGTAGTTCATTGGAACTAGTTCGTTCACGAACTAAACACCTCTAAATATAACATGGTGGGGATTATTAGTGCTCGGTACAATGCACTACGGCACAATTATGATTGTAGAAAACCCTGTCTTTTAATTTCCAGAATGCTCTGAGGCGCTGCTAATTCTGTGCTGAATTTCATAGTTATTTTACTCAATATAAAAATAAATTAAAAAGCTTCTTAAGGCCAACTAGAAATAAGCGCTGTTAAAAATAAAGAAGAGTACGGACCAAGTAATGAGATCTAAGGCTTGATCTCGCCAAAATTATTATCGTCATTCCTCAACGGAGCTGTCTTTGACTCCATTTTTTTTTCGATTGTATGATAGGTGTACTATTTTAAACACAAAACAGAATTTTAAATATTACCTGTTTTTGTGGAATGATGATTTGTGTAGACAGAGCATCTTTAGTGTTCGGAATGGGATGGTCTAGTAAGCAAATGCATCTAACTACCTTGCCCTTCTTTCTTACACGGTCCGGTACGTAAGTAGGATCACAATAAACCTAACGAATAAAAATTACACTGAATATACAGGATGTTTCTGTGTATGTGTCCCATATTTCACGGGGCGATTTTTCAAGTATTTTTAAGGTAAAAAGTTCATATATGTGGTCGAAAATGTTCGTTTTCGAGATACAGGGTGTCAACATTTTAAGAAAAAAAATATTTTTTTCATAAAACGTTATGTTGCTGTATTAAAATGTTAAAAAAGCATAAAATTTATAATCACCTTTTCCGTAGCACTGAACTAAATGAAAAAAACAATTTTTATATATTTTTTTTCTATAAAAGGGTATGGAAATTTGGAAAAGTTTAAAAGAACATAACAATTCCAGAATAAGCAAAAACATTTATGAAGAATGCTTTTTTCTCATTTTTGAGAAAAGACTTTCTTTACAAAAGGAAAAATGTATTATTAACTTTTGTTAATAATACAACATTTTTCCTCTTGTAAAAACAATCCTGGGACATACTGTATAATATCTTTACAGGCACTGCAGATATTTTTATGAAATTTCGCTAACGTTTGATCACTATTAATACCGTCGATTGAAGAAATAAGAAGATGCGCAACCTTATAGGACGAGCTTGTGGCACAAAACATGTCCGAGATGTAGTTGGCGTTACCGTCGGCCTGTCCGAGATTTAGTTGAGCTTTGCACCGCTGCGCACTGATAAAGAATACTGTACCGTAATTCTACAGGTTCTGCTCAGCCGGAGACAGTGTTGCCAGAACTACGGATTAATCCGTAAATTTAGGGATTTTGGATACAGTACGTTAATCACGCTGCGTCCTACTTGTGCGACAAAAGCGCACGATTCGGGCGATTTGACCGACACGTATTTTTTAAACAACGTTTTCTTATGAAAATGTCCTGCGTCGGCAATGCAGGACACTTTTATAAGCATAGATAATAGAGCTAATTCATAAATGTCATATATTATACAGGGTTGTTCACCACATACGACACGGAGTATTGTAGCTAAACGACTAGATTTTTACAAATTGTAAGTTTTGGGTTCGTTGAAGGACTATTAGAGCTACAATTTAAAAATATTTTTACAAGATACAGAGCGTCCCAAATAAATAAAAAATATCAAAGTTGTATTTTTTTAAATGGAACACCTATATATTATTACATTTTTAGTTTCTACGATTAAAATAAAGGTAAATTTGATTAAGGTTTATCACACCAAACCAAACCAAACCAAAGCTTACCGTTTTTGAAATATTTTCAATTTTGTGAAATTGCAGTATAAATTTTAAGGCTTCATTTCTCCGAGGGTATCAAAGTTTTTAATACTAAATATTTACTGAAATTTATTTATTGATCAGTTATTGTGTTGCAATAATAAAAACTTGACTACCTTATACAGAGTGTCTAAAAATTTATTTTAAATAACGACTAGCTTTAAATGGCAATAACTTGTTTAATTTAAATGGAACACCCTGTATATTTTATGAGAATCAGATGCACAATTTAATTGTCTATCAAATTGTATTATACCATTTTTTACCTATCTCTTCAAGTTTCCGTAGAAAATGCATTTTCTTGTAATTTAGAACTCATTTATCAATATACCCATGGAATACTGACATTTTAGATTATTTTTAAAGATGTACCAAATTTTTAAAGAGTACAAATACTGATATTGTCGATATAGTTCTTTTATTTCATTAAAAAATAAAAAAATACTGTTTAAATATTTGTTAAAGAGGACCAATTAATATGATTCCAGTATTCAAACTACATTAATTGACTGTTTGCGTTGATTAATAATAATTGCTCCAAATACAAAAAAACTGAATTATGTATGTGTATTAGACAGTGTGGTAAAAAGTAACACCTTAAAAATGATATTTAATTTTTTGACAAATGCTTATTTATAACAACAGAGACGTTCATTTTCATAACTTATTATTATATTGATTTCTGATTCAAATCCACATTTATTTAGAATAATTTATTAACGAACACAATTAAGTATGTAGTTAATTAGTATTTGGGCGGAAATACTGGTGGTATATTTAATTAATGGTATACTCTTTTATAAAGATTTAAATAGTTTTCTTTTTGCATACAAATGGGCTAGTAATATTATCGTTTTACTAAAAACGATAATATTACTAGACTGTAAATTTTGTACATTTGCTGTTTTAAAAACAATCTAAAATGTCAATATTCCATGGGTATATTGATAAATGAGGTCTAAATTATAAGAAAATGCATTTTCTACGAAAACTTGAAGGAATAGGTAAGAAGTGGTATAATACAATTTGATAGACAATTAAATTGTGCATCTGATTCTCATAAAATATACAGGGTGTTCTATTTAAAGTAAATTAGTTATGGCCGTTTAAAGCTAGTAGGTAATTATTTAAAATAAATTTTTAGACACTCTGTATAAGGTAGTATAATTTTTATTATTGCAACACAATAACTGATCAATAAATAAACTTCAGTAAATATTTAGTATTAAAAACTTTGATATCCTCGGAGAAATGAAGCCTTAAAATTTATACAGCAATTTCGCAAAATTGAAAATATTTCGAAAACGGTAAGGTTTAAGTGTAATAAACCTTAATCAAATTTACCTTTATTTTAATCGTAGAAACTAAAAATGCAATAATATACAGGGTTTTCCATTTAAAAAAATACAACTTTGATATTTTTTATTTATTTGGGACACTGTGTATCTCGTAAAAACATTTTTAAATTGTAACTCTAATAGTCCTTCAACGAACCCAAAACTTACAATTTGCAAAAATCTAATCGTTTAGCTACAATACTCCGTGTTGTATGTGGTGAACAACTCTGTATATATGAAAAATCACCCTGTGAGATATATACCATAGAAACACCATGTATATATTTTGATTAAAACCTCATAACGTTTTACCTGTTGAACCAAAACCTATCAAGTAAATAAAACATTGTGTGCAAACCAAAAAAAACGGACGTTTACTAGAGTAAATTTACAAGAAATAATATGGATATATTACAGCATCTTTAATAAGCGACTTAAACATATATTTTCGCATAATTTCGCAAAATAATATAATTTTACAAAATTGTTTAAAGATATTTAATAATTATTAACAAACGATACTATTTCAACAAGTAGCTTTGACTGTTTACAAATGGAATTAAACCAAAAATACACTTTTGCAGAAAGATTTGATGTTTTTTCTTTCCAACTTTAGTAAACACAATACTATAATTGATAAATTTTAGGTAACACGGTCTTTGCTTTTAACTAATAGGTAAAAAGTTATACAGTATGTCCTCGGATTGTTTTTACAACAGGAAAAACGTTTTTATTATTGACATTTTGAGAAAATTGCTTTCTTTATAAGTTATTAAAAATTAAATTAAGATTTAAAGATTTAAATAAAAAAAATCTGATTTTTTTTATGTTTTTAAAAAAATCATAATTTTTTCCAACCCTGGGAACGAGTTTTGATTTTTAGGAATTTGAACAAATTCAACTATATTTTCATGTTTTTTTTTTAATTTTCTCTAAAACGGTATGGAAATTTGGAAAAGGATAAACGGGATTAACCATTTTAGAACAGGCAGAAATTTTTATGAAGAATGCATTGTTCTCAAAATATCAATAATAAAAAAGTTTTCCCTATTGTAAAGAGAATCCGAGAACATACTGCATGTAGAAGCTTAAAATTTATTATTAATACCTGTTTACATCTGGCGATTTCACTGCCTGAGCGCACTCCAACGACCTTACCACCTTCTCCAAGAACGATTTCATCAATTTGTTTGTCCAACATGTATGTTCCACCATAAATTGCAGACAAACGCGCAAATCCTTGAAAAAATATATTAAATACATTTCAAAAATTAAGTTTTTCAATAACTATACCTTGAGGCAATTCTCCCAAACCGTACATCGGATATAAATATGGCGATTTACCATATCTAGCCAGTGAATCGGAATAGAGCTTGATTCTCTTAATGGTCTCGATTGCTGGGTTGTTTAGATACTCATCGTCCCTAAACAGAGCAAGAGCATGTCCTGTAAAATCTTGAGTGTTCTTGTCCAGCCCGAATTTTTCGTACAGAGCAGTCATGTTTTGAGTTCTAGGATCGAAATCTTTCCACGTTTTTGGATCCTCGTCGAGAAAATCTTGAACGTAGATGAGGAAGTTGCGAAAACGTCTCTTCTCAAACATTCCCATCAAATCTGAGGCGAGGGCTTCCTTCTGATCTACTGGAACCTTGAAAATTATTAAATAGATGCTTCAACAGAAACTAAATAAAATAAACTAAGTTGGTTTGACACAAGATCTAAAAACTTTTTGTACTGAAAGCAAATAGAATTGCGGTGCGAGATTTGATATTTTTTTGCATTCTATGATTTTGATGGGATATTTCTATTTACCTTTGCGATTTTACCACCTTTATACACGTAACTGCCCTCAACACTTTTGAACTCCAAATATCGGGTGACTCCCGTGTGTATTAATAATTTAACGAGGGAACCGTTGGCCATTAGAAACTTGGGTATTAAATCGACATTCCAATCTCTGCCTCTGCCGTAGCTCTCGTCGGGAGCGGGTGCTCCGAATTTCGTAAACAGCTCTTCTAATGGGCAGATCGAGGCCGATTCTCCACCATAGTATTTGTTACGGTCGACGTGTAAAACCTTTTTGCCGGAAACGGAGAGCATCCCGCTAAGGATACATTCCTTTAGACCGGTGCCCAGAACTATTGCATCGTATTCTTCATCCATGATAAGATTCTTTCTAGCTTTTTACTAAGTTTATTAGAAATTATAGATAACAAATCTCGACGAAACGGTTTATCGCGATGAATACGTCAGAAAATGTTCTTCTGACGTGCCGACGAATTGGCAACGTAACGGTAAAAATATCACTAAAAACTAAAAACCACAAACAAAAAATATCTGTTCTGAATGCATATACCCATTTTAAAATTATGAATTATTTTTGTTTGAAGTATAAGTAAGTTGTGCGCATAATAATATTATTTATTTCTATAATAAATACTATTTTATTAATATTCTCGACTTCAAGATTTAGAATGGTTTAGGTGAACGATTTGACCTTGAAACCGAATCTGTCTTCGGATATCTTCGTTAACGCGCCAATTTCAAATTTAGTTTGCCAAATTAAGAATTATTTTGTATTTTTACGGCAGTTTTTATATTTTTATAAAAAATGAATCATGTCAGAGGCTATGCTCTCGGTCATATACTGTAAATAAATAAGGATGATAGAAATCTTGAGACATATATTTTTTTTTTTCAAAAATAAAGGAGGGTTTTTGCCTTTCTCACAAAACTATGAACTTTTGGGTGAAAAGCCTTGAGACCGGGCCTTTTTGTGTATGGGTTCCGTGTGCAATATATTTTATACGTGGACTTGACGAGTATATCACCGCAAATCGCAAATTTGTCAAATTTTTATTGAGGGGACGCATCGTCTAATTTTTTACGAAAAACATCGAGAGAATATCGTTTTCCTCTTTACAGATGTCCCTTAGCTACAGAACGGATAGACGTACTGTTTGGTTTGTATTTATTATCATTTTTTTAAATCTATTATCTATTCATACAATATATTGACAACATCACGCGAGAATTTGTAAATGGCGCGGTGACGAAAACACCCGAATAGTTACTCTAAGTTTTGCCAATTTTTTGGCAGGTAAAACTAAAATCACTAAATTTCCAATATGTGGTGCGACGGCGCGTTGAAGTTCTTGACGACGTCAAAATATATAAAAAAAACAGTTTGGTTTTGTGCACGAAGAGGAAGTGTTTTGTGTTTGTGACTTGTGACAAAAATAGTGCGATATATATTTTCTAATAGTTATTAATTTTAATTTCCGTACACTTGGACAGTTAACAAATAAGTGATAAAAAAAGAAAAGTTATGAAATACAAGGTGAGCGAAACTTTTAAGTAAAGTTTATTTCTCAATTTGGATATTAGAAGGGAATTTAATCAAGGATTCATTTTCTCTTATTGGGAGGCTGTATGTTTATTTTAAACTTTTTTTTAAGGATGTCCTTTTAAAAATGTACATACGGTTATAGTATTTAACCAAAATACAAAGCAAAGATTTCATTTTGAATTGACCCTTTTCTAAAAAGTGCTTTAAACCAGAAATGATCAAGTTTTCACTATTCTAGGTACTGCAAAATGTCGCATTTTACAACTGGATCAGATAGAACGAATCATGGGGTGCAAGACACACCAAATCAACCCCAAAACGTGGCCCCTAATGCCAGCATTGGGGGTACCACTTACACTTTTCCAGATGTTACTTTGGCATCAGGTGGAATTGTGAGGTTACCAAGTCAAACGAGGGGCCACCTAAGAAGCGTTAGTCATGGGGGCAGTTCTAATGTAGTAACAGGCAGCAGTTCGGCAGGCATCGTTGGCAGATCAGCCCTTAAGGGTAAGTAATGCCAATGTATACATCATTTTTGTATTTTACAAATTGAACTACTTACATGTAATTTAATAATAGGAAATATAAATTATAAAGTTTTCTATAAAAACAAAATTTTTGTGACATATTTGAGGTAATTATATAAGATTTTTGTACTGTTTAAACTAGAGTCTATCCAGCAACTCCAAACAGCTGACTTCAAAAACAGACAGATAAAACGATTACTTTAAACTGAAATGATAACTGCGACAATCATAACATGTATTGTACCAGTACCAATGGACCACACTATAGCCTGTACTATAGCTATAACTCCTGTCTTTATTTAAGTTGTATAGGAATAAATAAAATTGTTTGGGGTTTTACAACAATATAAAACCAAAGCCGCAATACTTTAACACAAATATTTTAACATGTTTCATCCTTTTTATCTCCCAAATTTCCAGATAAACTGTTAAATTTTTCGTCTGCGTTTGAGAAAAATCTCAGGAAGCACACTCTCCCACATAGGATTTATTGATTGTTGATCTATTTATAGACAACAAATAATATCACAAACCACTCAGACTCAATATTTTACTGATTTGTCAACCTTATTCGCTGTTTTGCTACTTTCAAATAATGGCTCTGGTGAAATAATGTTTTTTTTTTTAATTTAAACATATACAGGGTCTGGCAATAGTGCGTCGGGCATCTGTAGCTCCTAGAATAAAAAACTTGGAAATTTTGTTTAAGTGCTAACCTTTAACTTCTACAGGATGGCTCAAAAAAGTGTGAGTGGATCTGTTATTATTGCATTTTTGGCTTCCTTTCAGGTCACTTTACATAGTCCTAAGATATGAGTAGATATATTTGGATAGTTTCAGAGATATTAATAAATAAATAAAAAATATATTTTTCAGCCTTTTTGTTCAAAAATTTTTTAAAAATACAAGAACTGTCCTGAAATCAAAACTATAGTCTGTGAAACGAATAACTTTGAATTTGACAGTTTCCGCGGGCTTTTCTAGTGTTAATTTTATTAGGTTAGCAACTTGCGGCCATGCTGACGCAATGCCGTCTCTAGTAGAACAGCCTCGGAGCGAGATTTATGACGTCACGCTAACATAATTATTCCTTATATTTGACTATGGCTGAAATCGTACATCATAGTCAATGTAGATAGTTTTAGTGTTAAGAATAATAATTTTAAAAATATGTGGTCATCTTTTTGACAAGTTTATATTAGTTTATTAATTGCAGTAAACATTATGTGGTTTGTGGTGTGAATATTTTATATGCAATTTTTTGGATTATATTCGACACTATTTTTTTATATGACACAACACTGATGAAGGCTATAATGTTAGCCGAAACGTTTTTTTAAACCAAAAAATAATGAAAACCAAATGAAAACTTAATCAGCGTTTTTCCCGAACCTAAATACCAAGAAAATCAAAAATTTTATAGAATAATTTTACATTATAAAATGACAGCGATCTTTATTTCATAGCCATCGCTGACGCATTTTTTTCTATGATATTGTATTATTTGCAAATATAATTTTTCGAACATTGATACTTGCAAAATATATGTACATATAAATTTTGTGAATACAAATAATAATACACCACTATAGTATATATTGAATGTTTTTTGTTAAATTAGATCGATTTTCAAACCCCAAAATTTAAAATATATTTTACATTTTACCCATTATCTTATGCACCAACTATTCATTATTTGTATATTGTAAAACATTTGCTGCATTTGTATGGTTCATAGTTTATTTGCCAAAGTATTTATTACTATAAATAGGTATATATTATATTTATTAACATTTCATGTAAACTATATCATTTTTAAAATACAAACCAAAAATACGAGGAATAATTATGTTTTCTATGTATTCTGCAACATATTTATTAATCCGTATCTAATTAGCGTGACGTCATAAATCTCACTCAGAGGCTGTTCTATTAGAGACGGCATTGGTCTGATATTTAGAAATGTCAAAAGCTGATGACATTTTACTTTTGACAATTATGCGATTTCGTGTTGATTTTTGCAAGAAGAGGAAGAACTGTCACCAGAGATATGGAAGTGGGAGCAATGCCGTCTCTAATAGAACAGCCTTGGGGCGAGATTTATGACGTCACGCTAGTTAGATACTACGGATTAATAAATATGTTGTAGAATACATGGAAAACATAATTATTCCTCAGATTTTTGGTTTGTATTTTAAAAATTATATAGTTCACATGAAATATACATAATATACAGTTAATAACTACAACATATATACCTATTTATAGTAATAAATACTTTGGCAAATAAACTATGAACCATACAAATGCAGCAGATGTTTTACAATATACAAATAATGTACTACATAAGATATTGGGTAAAATGTAAATATATTTTAAATTTTGGGGTTTGAAAATCGATCTAATTTAACAAAAAACATTCAATATCTACTAATAGTGATGTATTATTATTTGCATTCACAAAATTTATATGTATATTTTGCAAGTATCAATGTTCGAAAAATTATATTTACAAATGGTAAAGGTGTGGATCCGGTGGCTGACCTTGAAGCCCATATTTGCTGCATTTGATCATCGATACGACGCAAGCGCACATCGTCGATGTTGCCAAATTGCAGTTTATTTTCGAATTATTTGCAGTTGAATTTTTTTTTGAGTGTTAATCAATAATAATACGAATTCTATAATTAATTTTATAATTTCACATTTATCTTGATATCCAAAATTAAGGTAAGAAGGATAATGAAGACATATGTAATTTTTTGGATTATATTCGACACTATTTTTTTCATATGACACAACACTGATGAAGGCTATAATGTTAGCCGAAACGTTTTTTTTTTAAACCAAATAAAAATAATGAAAAACCAAATGAAAACTTAATCAGCGTTTTTCCCGAACCTAAATCCCAAGAAAATCAAAAAAATTAGAATATTTAGAAACAAGGTTCAAGAATATCAAATTTTCCAAGATTGTAAAATTCTATTTAATTTTTTTATGTGTACAATTATTTAGGGAATGTCATCGATGTTCATTTCCAAGCCAACTAGACGCCGATTTTTTTTCGATGATACGGTATAATTCTTAAATAAAATGTAAATAAAATTCGACCAATTAAAACAAAGAAATATGAACTTCTTAGTATTTTTAGTAACACCTTTATTCTTAAAACTTAATTTTGTATTGCAAATATACCAATTTTATTGTTATTTTATTCATATTGTATTCAGCCATCACTTAAATATTTGATATTAATTTGGTATTATAAATAATCGACACTATCAGTAAAAATTACTGAACAAATATATGTTATGCTTTACATACATTATATTATCAAACAAAAACACATTCTTCTTTTAAACTTTATCATTCTTGTCTTTACAAAAATCTTTTTTAATTTTGAATTCAAAATAATAATCTTTTTATGATCTTTAATACACATATTCTTTATTTTTCCCTAGATCATAATACCTACTTACGTGTTTATCTTATGTGTTTGAATCTATCGAAGCTGAACCAACAACACTTGGAGTGGAGATTCCACAATATGAATAAAATAAACATAATTGTCCAGTTTTCTTTAATACCATCCTGGGAGAATATTATTTTTAAATTTATTAAAGATATTTTCAATAGAATTGTCTTGATTTATAACTCGTACCCACTTTTCTTGCTCTTCCGGATACTTTAAGCTGCCTAGTATAACTATCCTTTCCACCAACAAAGATGAGGCATAGCACCAAAAACACACTCCACTTAAGCTTTATTGATGAATTGTTGAGTCTTAAAAACACACACAAAAAATCACGATAAATAAAAAATTTATGGGCACTTTTAGGTTAAAGCACTTAACAAAACGTAATATTTCGTGTTTTTTTATGAAACAGATTGACCATCATAGTAGCCATATACCTGGTAGTACTTTATGTCACTTAAACACCAAAATAATTAGTTTTTTGCACTACAATAACAAATAATACCAAAAATCTACCGACAAAATATGAATACAGAATCTAACCCAATATCTAAGTATGTACAGCTGATGAAGTAAACAAAAGTCCGCCCGTGGGCTGATCTTTTATAGAGGGCATTGGCCAGAGATATGGAAGTGGGAGAATGAGCTTCGACGAGTGCGCATCCAAATTTTTGTCGACGGCAAGATGGCAGACATCTTCCAGGTCTCGCTGTCACTTCCCCTCTTTAATTGACATCTGTTTGTTTTGTTTTTTTTTTTCGTTCGTGTTGTTATCTAGTTAAAATTTATTATTATCTCAATCAGAGTCTCAATTATTCTAAACACTAATTCAAAAAGTCTTATTGTATATTGTCATAGTCATTCTAAGAAAGCTAATACGCCGGGAAAAATGATTAGTTTTCATGTGTAAGTTTATACAACATAATCGTGTTTACAGATGATCCAAAACTGTTTATTTTTAGTTTTCCTAAAGGCGATTTGTAAAAATCGTGATTGTAATTGGGAATGGTCAAAAATAAGTGTATGATGTGGCCATTTAAAGAGGATGTTTTTATTACGTGTGGAGGAAGAAGATACTTGGAATTAATGTTCTTGCTTCTGTAAAACAGTGCACTCTTATAGTGTCCATGAAAGCACAAGTTCAAGTGTACCAGAAATATGTCAAATAAGATTAGTCTTTATTTGACAAGAAGATTATTTGGAGGAAAAGAAAACATAAGATAGGGTATTTTAATTGAACAGCGAAAATTTAACATTTTTATTGTAAAGTTTGTTGTAGGTAGTTGTAGTTTTGTGCTAAATATTTCTAACATTAGCAACAGCAGTGTTCAGAGTGTCAAGAGGAGGAGAATTCAGTTAATTAGATTTATGCACAGTTACAGGTATGAAGGCTTTTTCAAACATAGTATCAAGTTCTATAGTCAACATTTTTAGTATTCCTACAACTGTAAAAACAAGGAACATTGGACTGAAAAATGGCAAGATTTATATAGGAAGAAAGGGTA